TAAAATGTACAACTCAGTGACATTATGTGTATTAACAGTGTTGGGCAACCATCTCCACCATTCATTTCCAGAACTTTCCGTCTTCCCCAGTCAAACCTGTCCCTTTGGAACACTAGTTCCCTGTTCCTTCCTCTGTCCCTCTACTTTCTGTCCCTGTGACACGGGGAGGTGGTGGCCTCCCTGCCCTCTGTCCATCACTCTGGCAGCCCCTTGGTCTATCTCTTTGACACATCGGAGGTTTTGTGACTCAGTTCGATGCTTTAGCAGTTGCGGCATTGAGACTGACACCTCCGTGTCACACGGTCAAGCCCCCTCCTCCCTGCGGGCCAGTGTGGTCCTTTTGGCGCCGTGGACCCTCTGGGTCCCGTCCGCTTGCCAGCATTTGACAATCTCAGGCTTTGGTCTCACGTGTGATGCTGGTGGCCTTTTTTATCTTAAATTGGTTCTTTGGCTGCGTCCTGGACAGCTCCTGCCAGCACTGCTCCTGGGCTGTTCGCATGCCCGGGGGCGGAGGCTGTGCGGCCTGTCTAAAGCTGGAGAAAGTTGGCAGGGATATTTTCAAGTGTGGGAGGAATGCGAACAACGATCAGCAAGGAATGGGTGTCAGGCTTGGATGAAGGCTGCTACTTTGCCAAGAAAAGTACTTACCCAAAATTCTTGGTGTTAGTGGTGTTAATATTAAAACCGCTTAGTTCAGTGCGGACTATAAAGTTTTATTAGCCATTGTGAGTTACTGCAGCCACCACAGTCGCCACGAGCAGCTTAGGCTGCAGCGTGAGACTTCTGCCAGGCACAGAGGATCTTGCTGCTGCGTGTGTGAGTGGTGAGGACTTGAACCCCAGATGTTTGGCTCTTATTCCAAGCATGTGATCTGGGTAGGCTGCAGTGTGTGTAGAATCCGAACAGAAAATCTTCCAGATTCTAGGTGTGTGTTTTTCTCAGCTACTGTGAGGGTAGTAGGCTCATACCTGCCTGTAGCGGTCTCAAGTCCCGGCTGCTCCACTTCTAATCCGGCTCCCTGCTGATGGCCTGGAAAAGGAGAGGATGACCCAGGTCCTGCAGCCCCTTCACCCACTGGGGAGCCCTGCAGGAAGCTCCTGGTTCCTGGCTCAGCGCAGCCCAGCTCGGGTTTTGTGGCCACCTGAGGAGTGAACTAGCAGATGGAGAATCCTTCTCTCCGTCCCTGCCTCTGTCCCCCGCCCCCGCACGCTCCATCTCTGTAACTGATTTTCCAGTCAGGATGTGTTTTATTGCTGTGTGTGGAGACTAGGCATGCTGTGTGTGGATTGGGGTCGGAGAGGGAAGGCAGGGAGACAGTGCACCTTCATCATGCAGTGACGGGCGTCGGCCGCGCCCACATGGGCTGCTCCTCCTCCGTCGGCCCAGCAGTGTTGGGGCCGAGGACCACAGCCATGACAGAGGCCCAGCCCTGCTGTTCCATTTCCGCTGTCAGCGCCTGCTCTGGCCTGCCTGTGGCCCCCTCGCTAGCTGGTAACTCCAGAGACCTGGGGCAAGGGCATCTGGCTTGTGAGTCTCAGGGTCCTTACTTATAAAATCATTCCTTTTTTCTTTTTTTTTTAAGATTTATTATTTTTTTTAATCACAAAGTCAGATATACAGAGAGGAGAGACAGAGAGGAAGATCTTCCGTCCGATGATTCACTCCCCAAGTGAGTGCAATGGCCATTACTGTGTTGATCCGAAGCCGGGAACCAGGAACCTCTTCCGGGTCTCCCACGCGGGTGCAGGGTCCCAAGGCTTTGGGCCGTCCTCCACTGCTTTCCCAGGCCACAGGCAGGGAGCTGGATGGGAAGTGGAGCAGCAACCAAATGGGATGCTGACAGTTGCAAAAGGAGGAATAGCCAATTGAGCCATCACACCAGGCCCTGTGAGATCATTCTTACAATACCAACATGTTGGTGCCAATTTCTTTTTTTTTTATTAGAAAGTCAGATTTTACAGAGAAAGAGAGACAAAGATCTTCCATCCACTGATTCACTCCCCAGGTGGCCACAATGGCCGGAGCTGAGCCGATCCAAAGCCAGGAGCCTTGAGCCTCTTCTGGGTCTCCCATGTGGGTGCAGAGTCCCTAGGCTTTGGGCCGTCCTCCCCTGCTTTCCCAGGCCAGAACTGGCACCCATGTGGGATTCCAGCGCATGCAAGGTGAGGACCTTAGCTGCTAGGCTACTGTGCCGGGCCCGGTGTTAATTTCTAAAGGACAGAAAAAATATACAAATCATCCCAGGATGGCTTCCCAACGGGAGAACAGGGAATAGCTCTTGTTCCAGAGTGTCAGTAATGGCGATTATGATAATAATTATTCTCTCATTTGGGCCACAGAGTTGTATAAAATAATGGCTTTTTCATTATTATTACTTTTGACGTTATCTCAGAGTAGTGAAGAGGGACTTTTTGTTCCAGCAAAATGGAAATTACATTTTTAGCCAGTATTGGAAGCCATGCAGCCCACAGATGGTTAGAGCTAAGAGTGTAGGCCACGTAGTCCGTGGGTGGTGTCGCAGTGCGGCCGATAGAATGTGTTTGCTCTAGTAAGATGTGGAGAAGTTCGTCTCAAGGAGGTAAGACTGTCAACTAAAAAGCTGAGGAACTTTCGCCGAGGTGTTAGTGTAGGAGAGCTTTGGCGACGTGGGTCTCAGCCTGGGGCTGTGCTGTCCCTGTGTCGTTGCTAGAGCAGGGCCGAGGCAGGTGGAAGGCAGCTCCTGCATCTGGTAAGCATGGGGATGCTCTGGTGGCTACAGCTGTCTCATGGTACGGGTTTGTGAGAGGCAGGGCAGGTGAGCTGCAACCAGAGCGATCTGCACCTGCCCGGGGCCCTCTGCTCCCGGGGGCAGGTCGCCCAATCACGGGAGAGGCATCTCCTGGCAGGCCAGGGGCCCATGAAGTCCCTTCGCTCCCCGGAGATCGGAGGCCTTTGTGAGGACACCAGGTTAGTTTGAAGGAGGTGGAGGGACGTCGTTCCCCGTGGGTATATCCATTGAGATCACAGGCTCTGGAGTGGGTGCGCCCTCCCAGGGCACGGCTTCCGGGATGGCCACACAGCCCCGGAGAGCAGACGCCCCACACCCACGTCTGCACAGCTTCCCACCCCGCCCCGCCCGTCTCACCACGCTACGCCACGCCTCACTCGGTTCTGCCATCCCTCCTCGCCCCAACCCGACATGCCATGCCTCACACTGCCCTGCCTCTCCTGGGATCCCTGTTGGAAACGTGCCTTCCCTCTCCCTGCCTTCTGGCCTCCTTGCTGGTGTGGCTTCAACCTGCTCAGCTGTGAGAATAACCCTGCAGCTCCTCTCGCCTGAAGGCAGTGGGGCCTGGCCACAGGGTCAGGAGCTGTCAGTGGGATGGGGAGCCCTGCAGCAGGCTTGCAGGGTGAGGATGCGAAAGCTCCGGCCCTGGTCCAGCCCGTGCGTCTGCTCTGTGTCACAGCAGCATTCAGGAAGGTGGTCTGAGAGGCCCTGTCACAAACGTGTGCTTGAGTCAGCGGTCTGGAATGCTTCTCTGGGATGTGGGTACTGTGACTGTCCCACCATGCAGACCGGAAGCCGGAGCTCCCTCCCTTCATGCACCACAGTGAACCCTGTGGCTCCCCTAGAACCACACGCCAAGCTTCCCGACCTCGGCGTGGGCTCCTTGACTGATCTCACAGGGGCTGAGCGGGACCCAGCACAGTGTCAGGCTCTGCTGGGAGAATGGCCTCTAGGGTGACCGTGTGTGAGCTGGTAGTGTGGTGGCCGTCCAGGTGATGCGTGGTGACTCTGCTGGGTGGACGACTGGGCGGTGCCTGCCTCCCGCTGCAGGTCAGATGGGGAGTTCTGTGTGTGCAGCTGGCTGTCCTTGGGCGGAGGCAATGTGCTGGGGTGCAGGGCCTCCAAGCGGAGTTACGTAGGAGCCAAAGTGTTGGCGCTGCACATTCCCAGAAGCTGAATAAGCACCTGCCCTGATTTCATTGGAACAGCACCCCACTGGGAGTTGCAGCTTCGATGTGCACTGGCCCGTCGTGTGTCTCTCCCTAGGGTGTCTGCAGAGTCTAGACCACACGAGCTGGTTAGGGACTAGCCGCAGGAGAAGGTGGAGAGTGTGGTGCCGGCAGATGCAGAAAGCCGCAGCCCCGTGTTCAGCAGCCCGGGCTGTGAGTGGCTGTCCCCGCCTCCGTTCCCTAGTTTGTGAAATAGAAGATGGTAGAATGTCAGCCTGGAGAGCTTCCTGTGTGGATGGATAGCTGTGGCGATGACCCGAGAGTCCTCCCAGGCTGCCCCACTGGCAGGAGCTGGAACCTCCAGGGAGGGTTAAGAAGGGAGGGGCTCTGGGCTTTCCTGAAGAGCAGGTGCAGAGCGGCAGGGAGCGCCCCTCGCTCGGGCTTTGCCGAAGTGGTGGTATCGTTTCAGAGTTCGTCTAGAAGTTGTATCTGATTCGTCTTACCGTATTCATTCATTTTCATTTTATGTGAAAGACACAAAAGAGTGGCAGGAACAGTTACAGCTCTTCCGCTTACTGGTTGGTTATTCCTCAGAGGCCGTCCATGCCAGGAACACATCGGCAGGAAGCTGGGCCAGGGCACGGCAGCCAGGCCTGAGCCGGGCACCCCAGTGTCAGGTGGGTGCCTCTGTCCCGGTGCCCGCCACCCACTCCATTTGCTGGATTTTACGCAGGATCAGATTCCTCTGTCCCTGGAGGAGACTTCTCTTTTAGAGTGCTTCATAGGTGGCTTTCTTTTCCTTTTTTTCCCCTTAAAGATTTCTTAAGATGTAGTAGGTGTGTTCTGAATGTGTGGGCAGCGGGCACATGTGCACAGTCCTGCTCCCCAGCTGGGCACAGCGCAGTGTGGGGAGAAGCACGGAGGCAGCCAGTGCTGTGGGGCGGGCTGTCAGCAGCCACGTGGAGGGCTCCGTCAGGGTCTGATGCTGCCCAGACCTCGGAAGGGCAGCCCTGTCCCCGTTGAGTGTCGGCTGCTAACGCTGTGCCCGTTTCTGTTTCCCTCAGCCTCCGGACAGCGGGCCTCCACCTCTGCCGACAGCCTCGCTCCCGGAAGGTTACTACGAGGAAGCCGTGCCGCTGAGTCCTGGGAAAGCGCCGGAATACATCACGTCAAGTGAGTGGCGACCCAGGAAGGGAGCTGGCACAGACAGGGCTCTGCTGGTTCCTAGGGCCCAGTCCTGCCACCCCGAATCAGTGACATCTGTGTGTCCAGCTTGGCCACAGCTGTGCGCTGGCTGATGGCAAGATGGCCAGTGCCATGTTTGTGTTCACGGGTGTGAGTCTCCTGCCAGCTGCCCCTGGGTGCGCATCTCTCAGTCATGAACACTGCTGAGCAAGCTTGCCGCCCTGCCCGCCCGTCACTGGGGGCTGCTGTCGTGTGGTTGGCCCTGCACCTCTTGGTCTTTTGGGAGACGCTGTCCTGCTGGCTCAAAAAGCAATGGAGCATGGGAATCTGAAATGTCCCCTGTTGGTGCCCACCATGCTCTCTCCTCTCCCCCTGTTTTTTTAAAGAGTTATTTTGATTGGAAAGGCAGATTTACAGAGAGAAGGAGAGACACAGAGGAAGATCTTTCATCCCCCAAGTGGCCACAGCAGCTGGAGCCGAGCCAGTCCGAAGCCAGGAGCCAGTGGATGCAGGTCCCAAGGCCTTGGGCTGTCCCCCATGCCTTCCCAGGCCACAGCATGGAGCAGCTTCCTCTTCCCAGCACACTTCAGGGCTGCAAATGAGAGTGGTTGGTTTGATTGAGAGTTCTCGGTAATTGTCATTCTGCCACACTCTGTGTGGCCTTCGTTGAAACCATTTCTTGGTGGCCTCTGGGCAGACACCTTGTAAGTGGAAACCAGGCCTGAGGAGGCGTGGCCACCAGCGGCCATGCACAGTCACTCCTGTGAGGAACGGGTGAGCTCCCGGTCAGCTCAGGCTGCGGTGCTGCTGCTTATGCTTAGACACGAGCTTGGAGACAGGCCTGAGGACCTGCAGCCTGCTCTGGGGAGTGTTCTGTGTGGGGGTGGGGGCGCCAAAGCTGTGGGAACCAGGGAAGACACTTTGGAAAGAGGGTGAGAAGGCTGTGGAGGGACTGGCAGGGGGCGGGACACACTGAGCTCTCTGTCACTACCGTGCCCCACCACGGGGCTCCAGGGACACGAGGGATGCCCTGTCAGAGCCTGGCACCTGAGCCCATACACAGAGCTGGGCTTTGGGGATGTGGGGCACTCCCCGTAGGACCCTGAGGGGCTGTGGACTCAGGCAGTGCAGCAGCGTGTGCAGAGCCTGGCACCTGAGGTGGCATCACCTGGCGCTCTCTCTGCCACATCACCTTCTAGTCTGTTGGGGGGCCACCTAACTCAGAACAGTCCATTAAAAGAAGTGTTGAGCACTGTGAACAGGTGACACAGTGTGACGCTGCTGCAAGGGCTTGTCTAATCCTGCAGGGGCCCGTCCAGTCCCACAGGGCCCCGTCCAGTCCCACAGGGCCCCGTCCAGTCCCGCGGGGGCCCATCCAGTCCCACAGGGGCCCGTCCAGTCCCGCAAGGCCCCGTCCAGTCCTGCAAGGCCCCGTCCAGTCCCACAGGGGCCCGTCCAGTCCCACAGGGGCCCGTCCAGTCCCACGGGGGCCCGTCCAGTCCCGCAGGGGCCCGTCCAGTCCCGCAGGGGCCCGTCCAGTCCCGCAAGGCCCCGTCCAGTCCCACAGGGGCCCGTCCAGTCCCGCAAGGCCCCGTCCAGTCCCACAGGGCTGTCTCTTCAGTCCCAAAGGTGCCTCTACAGTCCCACAGGATCCTGTCCAGTGCCACGGATGCCTGTCCAATCCCACGGGGTGCCTGTCTAGTCCCATGGGGTATCTGTCCAGTCCCACAGGAGATCATCCAGTGCCATGGGATGCCTGTCCAGTCCCACAGGAGCCTGTCCAGTGCCACAGGATACCTGCCCAGTCCCATGGGGTGCCTATCCAGTCCCACGGGGTGCCTGTCCAATGCCACAGGGTGCCTGTCCAGTCCCACTGGGTGCCTGTCCAGTGCCATGGGGTGCCTGTCCAGTGCCACGGGGTACCTGTCTAGTCCCACAGGGTGCCTGTCCAGTCCCACGGGGTTCTGTCCAGCAGGCCTTAGGGCTTGGAGCCCTGTCTGCTGGAGACAGTGACGCTGAGCCAGCATAACCACCATCAGGAGGCATTCTGGAAGGGTTCACCTTAGCCCCACACGTGTTGCCTGGACAAAACCAAAAGCCCATCCCCCCAGTCTGCTGGTTGTTTCAGGGTGGTGGGGCGCGGGGCCGGCCCATGGGTTCCCTGAGCATGGAACTACTGTCCTTTTTCACTTGCTGTGAGGTGAGTTCCTGGGCTAAGTGAGGCTGTGCAGTGCCTACAGGAGTGGGCAGGGCCTGCTCTGCACCAAGGATGATGCTGTGGGCCAGGGCCTTGTGGACCGAGAGGGCACAGTGACCAGGATGGCAGTGACCGGAAGCAGCAGAGAGCCAGCGAGGGAGGTCACATGGAAGGGCTGACATTGGTGAGCCAGGTTCCTTGTCATGAGCTGGAGCCCGTGGGGAGGCAGAGTGCTCACACTGTGTAACCTTGCCCGCATGGCGCTCTCTCTGGGGAGTATGGAGACAGGGACCTGTTGTTGAATGAGCATGGGGGCCTCTTCTGCCAAGCCTCCAGGCGCACAGAATCTGTGGGACCACCTGGGAAGGTCTGTCCTGGGTGTCTTGTTGAGTCTTGACCACCCAACCCAGATATAGCACAGGACAGTGGTGGTGGGCAGTGCTGAGAGCAAGTGGCAGGGTGTCAGCAGTGGGGCCAAACTCCCACAGCTCTGCTGGAGCCTGCTGCCCTACCGCCCTGCCAGCAGCATTGCTCAAGTGGGGGAGAGTTCCTTGGTGGTCAGTGTGAGTTTGTGCTGGGCAGCTCAGGCAGGCATGCACTTGTGGCTGCTGAAGGCCCAGCAGGGACCGAATGTGGCATCAGACATCGAGGCAGGATCAGCCCCAGCTGCATTCTCTGTGCTCTGGCACGTGGTTCCATTGGGCCTCCACAGGGCCAGTGCACCCTCCAGTGTCCACTCAACTGGCTCAGCATGCGATTCTGTCTTAAGTCGGGTGACCTTTTGAGCTGCTCGTGAGGTGGGTGGCAGTAGATGGCAGGTGCTACTGTGCCGTGTGGGAGTGGGTGGAGAGACGTCCCCCAAATCTGGGCATCCTCTCCAGCCTTACCCACAGGAGCATCGCCTCTACCTGCCGTCATTTCCTGGAACTGTGTTCCAGGTGGGCCGAGGGCTGAGGCACATTTGGAGATGACTCAGATCTGACTGAAGGACCTCACTGCCCAGCCTGGGGGAGAGTGGCAGCCCGGCAACCCTTCAGTATGCCAGCTGGCCAGGGTCTTACGGCTGCCTCCTGCAGAGTGTAGTGCTGCGGCATGCCAGTTGACCTGGGTGCAGCGCTGTGGCGTGCCAGCATGTCAGTGCACCAGCTGACCTGGGTGCCAGCAGTACTGTAAGGTGAACATGACATTTAGCAGGATGTTCTGTTCCGCCTTCCTCTGGGGCTGTGACGTCCCGGCGACAGCTGTGGCACAGGGACGGTGCAGTGTGGTGGGAAACAAAGGTGGGCATGTCTTCAGTGTGCTGCTTCAGAGCACCACAGGCAGGGTGCACACAGCAAACGTAGACAGACTCAGGGTACAGTAGCCAGCACGGTGGGTTGCCTATGGGCTGTCTTCCTGGGATCTCTCATGGTGTCCTCACATGGGGACAGTGGTCTCTTCCTTCCTGTGAGGCCAGCAGCCCTGTGGATTAGGGTGCCACCTGTACACCCTCATTTAGTCTTACGGCTCCATGTGCTAAGAGTCCTGACAGGGAGAGGCTTACTATATGGATTCTGAAGCAGACAGCTAACTGCATGGCACCAGGTTTGGAACCACAGGACTTGCTGAGCCAGGCACCTCTGCAGGAAACGTGAAAGCCAGACACGTGTGTGCAGGCTGAGGTGGGTTGGGTGGCACCCAGAAGCCTGCTGGAAGAGCTGCTCTGTCCGCGGCCCTGGAAGCAGGTGGCTGCACCTGAGCAGCCAGAGGCGTCAGCCTGGGAGATGTCTCCAAGTGGGAAGGCTAGGTGTGCCTCCTTGTGGGAGCTGACGGGGACAGCGAGGAGTGTGCTCTGGGTCTCTCGTGGTCCACAGGGTCTGTGTGGCAGTTCCAGGAGGCAGACAGTGCTGCAGCTTACAGAATCATCTTCTGTGGATGTGGGGATCAGGAAGCTGCTGGGTGGGACGTCTGGCAGTCAAGGTGCACCATGTGGCAGCACCACCCAGGAGCCCTGAGCCCATGCCAAGGGGCTATTCTAAAGCCAGCATTTCTAGTCACCTTGGTGGGAGTTTTCACCCAGCTTCCACTGCACAGGTCTGGGAGTCCTGGCTCCTAAATGCTACCCCGTGCTTCAGATCAGACCCTGGTCTGTTTTATTTATGCTTGCCAGATTATGACTCGGATGCGATGAGTAGCTCCTACGAGTCGTATGATGAAGAGGAGGAAGACGGGAAGGGAAAGAAGGCCCGGCACCAGTGGCCCTCTGAGGAGGCCTCCATGGACCTGGTGAAGGATGCCAAGATCTGTGCCTTCCTGCTGAGAAAGAAGCGCTTTGGCCAGTGGACCAAGTTACTCTGCGTCGTCAAAGACACCAAGCTCCTGGTAAGGCTTCTCTCGTGGTGAACCCGCGGGGCCTTGTGGGCTACCTAAGGGGTGGGGTCTGTTCCCAGTGGACGTGAACATCAGCCGTGGAAGGCAGCAGTCAGAGCCAGGCCAGCAGCTTTCTGCAAAGGTTTCCCAGCCCTTAAGGCGAGCGGCCAGCGGAGTCTGCCCACGCTGGGGCAGCGCCTGTGGTTTGTGTCATGGACATGCGCAGTGTTTTAACTTGCCAGAAGGCACAAGCTGGAGTTTCTCATCTGGAGTGAGTCAGTGAATTCCTCACAGCCAGGTCATAGCAGGAGGCCGGGCGGGCTCCGGAGGGTCGGAAATGCGGGCAAGGAGATTCTTCTGGAAAGCACAAAGCCAATCCTCTCTCTCAACTTCCCTCCCTCTCTCTCTTTGTCCCTCTCCCCTTCTCTCCCTTCATCCCCCTCTTTCCCTTCCTCCCTCTCTCTCTCCTTCCCTCTCTCTTCCTCCCCCTCTCTCCCTTCCCCCTCCCTCTCCCTTCCTCCCATCTCTCCCTTCCTCCCTCTGTCTCTCCCTCCTTCTCTCCCCCTCTCTCCCTTCCTCCCTCTCTCTCTTTGTCCCTCTCTCCCTCTCTCCCTTCCTCCCCCTCTCTCCTTTCCTCCCTCTGTCTCTCCCTCCTTCTCTCCCCCTCTCTCCCTTCCTCCTCCCCCCCCCCCCGTAAACTTTGACTAACAGGACAGGAAGGTGGAGTTGGGGAACACAGGCGTCTGCTGTGGGCGCCCACCCTCAGGGCTGGGGCTCGAGGCCAGCAGATTCCCTTCATCCCTCCTGCTTCCCTCCTTTATGAATCCTGGTTCACCGGTCACTCCTGGATTAGGGACCTCCAAGGTCACCATGGTTCAGTCCTGGGTTAGGGACCTCCAAGGTCACCATGGTTCAGTCCTGGGTTAGGGACCTCCAAGGACGCCACTGTCTTCGTTTTTCCCTCCAGTTAAACTTTCACATTGCTGAAAGTTATCTAATCAAAGCAGAATATTGAAAGCTTCTTTTCTAGAAATCACTCCTTAGTAGAACAGATAATGCTTTGTAGAAATCAAAATTCATTTGTAAATTATAAGAATCTTAATTTATTTAAGTCTTTTTTTTAAAGATTTATTTTTATTATTTTTTCATTGGAAAGGCAGATATACAGAGAGGAGAGACAGAGAGGAAGATCTTCCGTCCTATGATTCACTCCCCAAGTGAGCGCAATGGCCGATACTATGCCGATCTGAAGCCAGGAGCCTCTTCCGGGTCTCCCACGCGGGTGCAGGGTCCCAAGGCCTTGGGCCGTCCTCAACTGCTTTCCCAGGCCACAGGCAGGGAGCTGGAAGGGAAGTGGGGCTGCCGGGATAGAACCAGCGCCCATATGGGATCCCAGGCGTGCAAGGCGAGGACCTTAACCACTTGCGCCACCGCACCGGGCCCTATTTAAGTCTTTTGAATTAATTTTTTTAAGTGAGTACATATTTTTTCCACATGTGTGGCCTGCTCTCCCAAATTTAAAACGTGCCAAAAATGATGCCATGGGGAATTGTACAGTGGAGAATGGAGACAAACGTGGTCCTTATTTACCATCTGACCTCACTGCTACAGATGTGGCCTTACTCCGTGAGTGTGGAGAACGCAGTCACGCTCACTGGAAAGCCAAGCAGCTTGGGGCTGTGTGGGGCAGGAGCAGGTGGTGCCCAGGCCCCTGGGCCTCTGCCTGCCTGCCTTGCCTTCACTCACCCCTGGTCCTCCTTTCTCCAGCGCTGTCTGTTGCTTCCTTCCCTTCAAACACCAGGATGACACCTGTCACTCAGCCTCATTGTCGCTGCCAGAACCTTCCAAGGGGTTGTTGGAAGGCCAGCAGTCAGAATCAGCCGTTTGCCTGTCGACGGCGCCCTTTCCTGAGGCTTGTCCCGCACAGCTGCTGTGTGGCCTGACCTTTGGATGCCGGTTGGGACGGCCCGCTCCATTTTTTGGAGTATTTGCATCTGAGTCCTGCCTCTGCTCCCAAATCCAGCTTCCGGCTAATGTTTACCTGGGAGGTGACAGGTGCTGGCTCCTGGAGCTGGATGATGGCTGCCATTCTTCCCAGGGCTCTGTTTGAGCTACAGATGCCAAGGCCCACGTTCAAGGGGCAGTTCTTGGCCTGCCAGCGCCAGCGCTTCTCTGCCCACCCGCCCCACCTGGTCTTGCTCCTAAGAGAACTTTCTTGATATCCTGCAGTCCACACAGACAGCTTCCCCCAAAACCCAACGTGAGGAAAGAGAAAAGCTCTCACATTCTCCTGACTCCTTCCACTGCACAGCTGGTTCCCCCACGCTGTGCGTACGGAGTATATATGATAACAGGGACGTGGCCAGCATTCCTCGCGGTCTGAGCCTGGCTGGTGTTAACCATTAGTGGAAATGGTTTTGAAGTGTGTGTTCCCTACCTGCTGTTCTCTAGCATGGCCCGGAGCTGCAGACTGGGAGAAGACTCTGTGCTGTCCACCGTCAGTGAGTGCTGGGAGGTTCTGAGGGTGCCACCCTCAGTGCCTGACACGGGGTGTGTCTGCCAGCTCACAGCTCGGCCTCCTGGCTCCAGGAGGGGCCAGGCTGAAGAGCTGAGCCGTGTGGGCTGTCTCGGGTTATTTTGGTAGCAGGTGCTTTATTAGTGCAGTGAATGACAGCAAAGTATGCTTTCTTGTTTTTTTTTTTAAGATTTATTTATTTTTATTGGAAAGTCAGATATACAGAGAGGAGGAGAGATAGAGAGGAAGATCTTCCGTCTGATGGTTCACTCCCCAAGTGGCCATAACAGCCAGAGCTGAACCAATCTAAAGCCAGGAGCCTCTTCTGGGTCTCCCACGCAGGTGCAGGGTCCCAAGGCTTTGGGCCGTCCTCGACTGCTTTCCCAGGCCACAAGCAGGGAGCTGGATGGGAAGTGGGGCTGCCAGGATTAGAACCAGCGCCCATATGGGATCCCAGGTGTGCAAAGCTAGGACTTTAACCTCTGTGCTATTGTGCCTGGCCCTAAAGTGTGCTTTCTTGTAAGGCTGCAGGCTCTGCAGGGATCGGGGGGAGGGAGGTGGCAGAGTAAAGTCAGAACGGACCTAGGACCCAGAGAGTTGACCTCTTAAACCGTAGAGCTCTGTAAAGCAGTGTGCCTGGGCCCCAGGAGTTGCAGTTAAACTAGACAGGGCCAGGCAAGCCTCCAGAGGAAACTTGGCTGCGGGCTTTATTAGCAGTTGAGCAGGAAGGAGGTGCAGTGGCCTTAGTTTTGAGCTTGCCACTTGATGTCTCCTGTGTGGGTGTTCGGGGAGCCACACAGCAGCAGGAGCTTAGTGTCTGTTGCCCACCTAGAATCAAGCCATGCGGGCACCTGCTCCCCAGAATGCTGCTCCTCCTTTTGGGAGAACTGTCCCGTGTCCTTCGAGAAGGGCCAGAGACAGGAGTCCAGATCTGGCAGCGTAGCTAGTGTAGTACAGTGGTCACATGGTGGGGTCATCTGCCCCAGCAGGGTTGTGTGGTTACAGCAAGTCCAGTACTGTCTCATGCATTATGTATTACATACTGTATACTTACATGTTACTGTATGCTTCCATGTGATGAGGTGACCGTGTGCCTGGTGCAGCCCAGTGGCCTGCAGAGCTACCCTGCAGTCACCAGGCATGCCTGCGTCCTCTGCACACCTCCAGGAGCCTGGGCAGGGCCTTTGTCACTACCGTCCTCTTAGCTGTGTGGCCATGTCCTGTCGCCTGCAGTGCTACAAGAGCTCCAAGGACCAGCAGCCCCAGATGGAGCTGCCGCTGCAGGGCTGCACTGTCACTTACATCCCGAAGGACAGCAAGAAGAAGAAACATGAGCTGAAAATCACACCGCCGGGCAGCGACCCCCTGGTCCTGGCCGTGCAGAGCCGGGAGCAGGCTGAGCAGTGGCTGAAGGTAGGTCGCTCCAGCCGAGCCCGCTGCTTGCCCAGCGTCCCCGAGAGCTCTCGGCCCTGGGCTTGGTGGGCTTCCTTTCAAGCATAGTAGGGGAACCTGAGCAGTTAGCTGCTGCTGTCTGCACGTTCTGCTCAGAAGCCTGGGTCCCTCGGACTTGGCTGGAAGGCGTCCGCCCCCGCCAGGTCCAGGCCCTCTGGGCTCTCCTCCAGCTGACTGTGTGGGCACAGAGGCTTTCTTCACTGTTTGGGATCACTGAGCTTATTGGCTGTGTGTGTTGTCATCTTTCTGTGTTTGGAAAATTGTTTCTACCCTTTTCTAAAACTATACCTTTGTCCCACTCACCTGCTTCCCCAAGATTACAGTTAAATATGTTAGACTGTCTCACCCTGGGCCATTTCCTACTTCTCTGTGTATTTATAGATTTTCCCCTTCACTTCACTCCTGCTAGTCTGTAGGCAAAATTCCCAGAAGTGAGTGTGTGTGTGTGTGTGTGTGTGTGTGTAAGAGACTGACCTTGGTGGAGGCTCCCGGCTCAGCAGCGGCCTTTCCTCCCGCACCTTGCCCACGGGGTATGTCAGGGACTCCAGGCCTTTGGCCGTCTCTCTGAGCAAGGTTGGAGTCTCAGCCTGTCCCCCTTCTGAGTGAGGGCGAGATCACATCTGCTCAGCCCGACCCCTTTCTGAGCAGGCGCGAGCATCCTTTCACAGGGCTGAGACGCCGTGATGTGTGCTGGAGCTCCGGGGACATGTCTCTTTGTATCCCCTACGCCTGCCATCTCTGTTCTGTTTCTGTTGTTAAGGACCTGCCAGATGCCATGAGCAAAGCTGGGTCTGAGGACGCAGCTCTGTTTCAGTCTGCTCATTTCCTTGTGCCAGGAGGCCTCACGGAAGGGGGAGGGGGGAAGAGCAGGTAGAGTTTCCACAGCTGGAGCAACAGCTAAGGTCCATGGCCTTGCAAAGACATTTCAAATGAAATCTCACTTGATCTTTGTACTTGCTTCTGAAATTCAGGGTCATAGATGTGAGAGCCAGCGTGGGCCCCAGGGCCACTCCAGAAATGGTGTGACTGAGCACAGACTGCGGCCATGCTGCGTCCTGCCTCCTAAGCCCCCAGTACTTTGCTGTATAGTTGGGGCTATATAGTCAGTTTGTTTTTGGAAGGCAGAGTGATAGAAAAAAAGACATTGACACAAAGAGAGACGATCCTCCATCTGCTGGCTCAGTGGCCAGATGCCTGCAGCAGCTAAGGTTGGACCAGGCCAAAGCTAGAAGCTAAAACTCCATCTGGGCCTCCTCCATGGGTGGACCAGACCCACGCACATGGGCCTCCTCCATGGGTGGTCCAGACCCAGGCACGGGGACCTCCTCTAAGGGTGGCCCAGACCCAGGTACAGGGGCCTCCTCCATGGGTGGTCCAGACCCGGGTACAGGGGCCTCCTCTAAGGGTGGCCCAGACCCAGGTACGGGGGCCTCCTCTAAGGGTGGCCCAGACCCAGGTACAGGGGCCTCCTCCACGGGTGGCCCAGACCCATGCACACGGGCCTCCTCCATGGGTGGCCCAGACCCAGGTACAGGGGCCTCCTCTAAGGGTGGCCCAGACCCAGGTACGGGGGCCTCCTCCACAGGTGGCCCAGACCCAGGCCTGTGAGCATCCAGCTGCTGCCTTTTTAGGTGCATTGACAGGAAACTGGATTGGAAGAAAAGCAGTCGGGACTGGAACTGACACCAGCTTTCCACACCCAGCTCATCCCTGTGGGCATAGCACTGACTGTTTCACTGGATGTTTTTGGCAAGCTACATAAACTCTTGATGTCTCGGTTTCCTCACTTATCAAACAGGAGAGCACAATGTCTGCTTTCCTGAGCTGCTGTGAGAACCAAAGAATACTAGGATAGTGAGTGCTTGGCCTGGCACCTGTTGTATCGGGAGCATGTGGGCTGTGGTGTCTGTACCACCCAACCAGCTCTGCGTCTCAGCAGACACACTAGCCCTGCTGGGCAGTGTGGAAATCCAGAGGGCACAGCAGCTCAGTGTGGGAGGGTTTCTGTCATGTCTCCTGCCCCTCTTTTGGCCAGAGCTGCAGGGAGATAGGGAGGCATCCGTCGGGATATATGTCCCGGAGAAAGCCAGAGAAGAGTCATGGACCGTAACTCCTGCTTGTGGGCGAATCAATTCTCCAGAGTCACGTTCTGTGTAGACACACGTGTGTGCTGAGGTGACCCCTGTTTCCTTTTCTGACAAGGATCCATGAGATCCTTTTCTGAAGGGCAGCTTCTCATTTCTAGCATTTTCCTTCTTAAAAAAAACTTGCCATCTCTGCTGAAAGTCTCTAGTTCTTCATGCATGTTTTCTTCTGTTTGTGCTGACAGTTCAGCATTTCTGTCATGGACACGTCAGTGTCTGGAGCACCTCGAGGACAGCTCTGGTGCGTTCTCGTTGTGTTCCGTCCATGTTGCGTACGAGAGCCTGTTTGCCCAGGGAAAGGCATTGCTCAGACTGCTGTGCTGCCACACGTGGCCAGGACCAGCGTGGCTCTGGCTGCTGTGCTGCCACACGTGGCCAGGACCAGTGTGGTTCCGGCTGCTGTGCTGCCACATGTGGCTCTGGGTGCTGGACCAGCGTGGCTCTGGCTGCTGTGCTGCGGTGCGTGGCCAGAAGCAGCCTAACTGTAGTTGCTGCAGAGCTGGACTTGTTCGCGGTCTCTCTGATTCACCCTGACTGCCTTCAGGTTTGATCAGAATGGTAGATCGGGAAATTTCCATCTGTCTAGTGGGACGTTGGGAGCTCTGGTCAGCTTTCAGAACCAGCTTGTGTTTGCTTAGTCTGGGTCTAATAGTGGAAGAGGTGTGCTCTGCAGTGTGGGGAAGAAGCTCTGCCCTGCTGTGTGTTCAGTTTGACCGCGGCCTTCTGTGCTTCGGGGAAGGACAGCACCTCCCCCAGGGATGCAGCCACTTCCTGCATGCGGGGAGAGCTGTGTGTGTCCAGCCCCTCCCGCCGGCTCAGGCAGGCAGCTGCTGACTCAGCCACCTGGAGCACTGGCTGCCCCTGGCGGCCGTCCCAGCTGGGGGCACTGGGGCATGGACCTACAGGTCACTTCCTGCCTCTCAGATAAAACTAAAACAAAACAATCTCCCCCCTCAAAATGTAATTTTCGTTGCACCCTTTTTGTTTTGATATTTTGTGCTTTTACTAGCATTCGGTTGGAGATATTCCACTATAGTGATCTCCTCTTGGATGGTTATCTAGGGAGACAGTGCTTAGTTTTGAGATATTTTTGAAAAGTCATCTGTTCTTGGCTTCTAGTTTAACTTCCCCAGATCTTGAAACTTTATGATTTCATGTGTTAAAACTTTCAGTCTGGACTTGTTGCCCAATGCAGAGTTCTGACATCATGTCCCCTGGGAGATTTGTGCTCCACCGTGGTCGGGGTGCTGGTCATTCTCTCACAGTCATTTTCAAACCCTACAAGTCTTGCCTTGTCTTTTTTTTTTTCTTGTCAAAATACTGTAAAATCTGTAATGGTAGAACTATCATAAAATAAACACCTCCCGCTCAGGCGGCAGGAAGTGCATGGAAGGAACGTGAAGGGAGTGTCTGAGACATTCCTAAAAGGCTCGCCACACCCCAGCCTGTTGGTGTGCCAGGTGGGAACAGTACTCACCAAGTGCTATGGTGGTAAATGAAAAAGCGGTGTGAACACATTCTGAGAACTGTGAGAAGTGCGGAAGTGCGTATGGCATTGTCTGTGTCATCTCTTTGTATTCCTGTAGCAGAAATTGTTTTGCCAAACATGTCTTGTGTTTTCATGCAAGCTGCTGTTGTCCTGCCTTGTTCAAAGTGTGTTTTGAAACATGGCTTCAACATAAGAATTGAACGTCTAATCAGTTAGAAAACCACAAAGGACAACCAACGTACACACGCAACCAACTTTGCACACGCTTCTTTAGGAACTGCTGCTTGCTTTGTTTCCCCATGCTCTGCGTGCACCTGGACGCTGGCAGCGGGAGCTGCGGGCAGGCGCCATGGGTCAGGCAAGAGCCAGTCCTCCCGGAAGCGCAGTGGTCAGGTTTCCTCAAGAATGGGCCAAGCGCGTGCTTCTGCAGACACAGGCCCCGCTTCAAGCAAGCAGAACACAACTCATCCTCCAGCTTGTCTCCTGGAGGACTTAGTGCTTTCGATTCAAATCCAGTTCTCATGGCTCTTTAAGTAGAAATATATTAGTGTAAAAACTTTACTTATAGTTGTTAGAATCTGAATGATACACCCTTCCTCTCTGTTTCTGAATTAGCTCTGCAGGTGCAGTTGGTTGTATGTAGCCCCACGTGGGCGGTTTCAGGAAATGCCCTGAGATCGTGACTGGCCTGCAAGGCCTGGGCACGACAGACTGGCATGTGCGCCTTGGAGTTCTCGGCTGTCTGCCCCGTACTGCAGGCAGAGGTCTTGTTTAGTCTGGGGAGGCAAGCAGTCTTGTGAGCAGCACTGCTCAACCTATGCACACACTGGTCGCCTGCCAGCACCTTGGGAAGCCCTGCTGCCCCGACCAGGAGTGCCAGCTGGGGTGCGGGTAACTCTTGGAGAACAAGCAGGTACAGAGTGTCCAGGAGGTAGCTCAGCATTCAGATGCTCTGGGATGACTTTGGAAAGTGTTCCCTGAGGTCGCTATGCTGCCAGCCTCCCCTGGCTGCTGATGGGCACGGTGGAGGGTGAACAGGTCAGCCAGGGCAGGACACCAGGCCAGGGTAGTATAGCTGCTCTGGGTGTGGAAAGATAAAAGATAAAAACAGAGAAGACATTTTGAAAAATTCACCTATTAACCTTCAGTTGTAAGTGTGTGCTCCGCTAGCACAGGAATGTGTCTTATTGCACATCCCTGTGACTGGAACCACACGTGAGTGTTGTGTGAGCTACACAATGAGGGCACACACTTGAGAGCTGGCACAGCCTGCAGGCCAGCAGGCCTGTGTCACTCTGCCTAGCCCAGAGTCACCGGGTAGGTTCCTGTGGCACCCCTGCAGCTGTGGTGACAGTGGCCCCCAGTGACTCAGGCGTCTTTCAAGATCTCGCTGTGTCCTGCAGGACAGGTCACTGTTGACACACCTTTCTTTGATGGCACTCAGAGCTTCAGAACCAAAGTCACACTGCGCACTGCTGGCACTGGCACAGGAGCCAGTGAGAAAGCAAGCAGCTGGCGGGCTTGTTCCCAGCCCTGGCCTCTCTGCATCCAGCCCTGTCCCTGCAGCCTTTGTGACAGTGTCTCGGCTCTCCCCCTCGTTGCCCTGTCTCCTGGTGAGCTCGGGCACCACAGTTGCCAGCATCACCGTATGGCCCCTGACACCCCCTACGCATCTGGCTGCCTGGAGACTGGCCTTCACTCTCCGGTGTCCAGCCCCCTTGCCCCAGCCTGTTTCAGTCACTGGGAACAGAAACACAGAGTCATATTGGAACCCTGCCTGCTGAGCCCCCGTCCAGCCGCTCAGCGAGTCCTGCCTCACGCCGCCTGTCCTTGTGTCCCGGCGCCTGTGTTGCCACTGCTGCAGCCCTTGCCGCCCTCACTGCCAGCCCTGCACGGCCCAACACATTTTGTCTGTCTTTCTCTCCTGCTCCGGTGTAACTTCTTTTTTTAAAAGATTTATTTATTTTTATTGGAAATTTAAATTTACAGAGAGAAGGAGAGATAAAGATCTTCTGTCCATTGGTTCACTTCCGAAGTGGCCACAACAGCCAGAACCAAGCTGATCCCAAGCCAGGAGTCAGGATCTTTTCCCCAGGTCTCCCACGCGGGTGCAGGGTCCCAAGGCTTTGGGCCGTCCTCCACTGCTTTCCCAGGCCACAGGCAGGGAGCTGGATGGGAAGTGGAGCAGCCAGGACATGAGCTGGTGCACATATGCAAGGCAAAGACTTAGCCACTAGGCTACCTCACTGAGCCCTCACTGGAGCTTGAGTGCTTCCTGCCAGATCTAGGGAACTGAGTGCTCACCGTGTGTGGATCTTAGCCCAACCACCTCTGTGCTCTGCAGCCGAGCATGCTGAATCAGCGTGCAGTGAGCATGCTGGGGGAAGCCAGCCCTGCAGCTAAGGAGCAAGGCCCTTAAGGCCCTAAGGAGTCCAGGCAGGACCTGTCTGCCCACTGGGTTAATTCAGACTCCTTAGTAGGCCTGAAGTGGCCAGGGACCTGACTCCTGCTGGCCACGCCCACCTCATCTTGTACCACGCCTCCCCCCTAGGGTTTCCTTAAATACTTCCTGTCCACCAGGTCAGGGGTTTGCGCCAGCCACCCCCAACCTCCCACCTTTCCCAGTCATTCTTCTCATGTCTTGAGCCTTGAGGCCGCTCAGCCTGGGGCTTCAGCTCCACAGGCATGCCTGTTGTACTGGATTTTTGAAATCCCCAGATAATCATCAAGTCTGAAGTTGGTGCTAAGGCATAAAGGTGGTTTATTCAGGTTAACCTAGGTCTCCCAGCCACCTCCCCCAGCCCAGCTGCTAGGATCCCACAGGGAGGACAAAAAGAAGCGCGAGCCAGCAGAGAGAGCGCCCAAGCCCCCCAGTTCTTATACATTTCAGGCTATTAATTATACAGTCATGATTTAGCAGGCTGCTATTGGTGGATTTGAAACAAGCAACTTTCAAAAAGCACAAATCGATGAGCTATTGGGCTGTGAATCTTATCAAACACCAGGTACCTCTTTCCTGAGCAGTGGTCTGCTTGGTGACCTGCCAGGTGTCCTGCGGGGTGTCACGTAGACTATCAGGCCTGGAGTTCACACAGCCCCCAGCCGAGCCATTGAGGCAGAATCACAAAAGGCAGAAAATGCCTAGGTTCTTCATGCCCAGCCCACGACCTGCAGAACTCTGTCTTGTTCTTGCCTCTGCCTTGATGGGGACCCGTTGCACTCTTGCCCTTGTCCATGTGTGCGGAACTTCTGGGGCAGGAGCTGGGCATGTGTTGTAAGCTCTGTGCGTTCAGAGTGCAGGTCAGTGGCAGGATGGGCGTACAGAAATGAAAGCACCCCAAACCCAGAGCTAGACCCCGCCACTTCCTGCCAGTCCTCCCCTGCCTGTGCCCTCCTGACTTGGTCCTTGTTTGCAGTGTCTTCCTCGGGTGTACCTCATTGTGTCTGTGCTTCTTGCAGGTGATCAAGGAGGCCTACAGTGGCTGCGGTGGATCTGTGGGTTCCGAGGGCCCCCCGCCGTGCAGCTCCCCGGTGCACAAGGCTGAGCTGGAGAAGGTATGCCGGGAGACAGGTGCTCGGCATTTCGCATCCCTGAGAAGCGCCTACCTTGTCTAAGCTTGGGTTGGTGGTTGGCCAGGTCTGGTTCAGCTACAGATGGACAAGTGGACTCACAGAGTCTGATTGAGTCACGTGACTGTCGGAGGGCACTGGGTTCTGGATGTCAGCCTGTCTGCTTCCAGGACATAGCAGGCACTGCTGAGTGGCCCTGTGCTGGCTGCACGGCCGACAGGCAGCGTCCTGCCATTCTCGGGCATACACTGACTGCACTCCCTGCAGGGGCACAGCAGGCACAGGGTGAGGCAGAGCGGCTGTGTGCACGCCACCTGCTCATTTGCTTTGGCTGTTTGTGGCCACCATGATGTTGTGTCCTAGGAAGTGCCTGAACCCACTTTGTTTAGGTCCCCGCTGGGAACAATCAGCTCCTGTGTCTGCCCTTGGTTGGTCAGAGTTTCCCAGAGAGGACCGAAGTGTCTGTCTGCAGGGCCACGGCTCTCTGGCTGTTGTGGGTTTGGTCTACATTCCCCTTCAGTTTTGAGCTGAGTGTAAGTGATCTATCTGCCGTACATCACGAGGCCAGTGTGACTGTCAGACTGACTTGATCCTTTTTATCCTCAAAGAAACTGTCGTCAGAAAGACCCAGCTCAGATGGAGAAGGAGTTGTGGAAAATGGAACTACAATGTGTAATGGGAAGGAGCCAGGTAAGCTCTGGTGTGTCTGATGCGTGAGCAGAAGTGCCTGACAGGCTGGCTCTGTGAGATTGTTAGTGTGCGAGCGAGATCACACCAGACATGTCCAAGGTTTATTAAGGAGTCTATTAACTGAGCTTGGTGATAATACAATAACAAATCACAAGTCCATATGGCAATCCAGCCAATCATAATCCAATGGTCATCATCCTTAAGTCTATCCATTAAGCTGAAAGCTATCCCAGCTTCCCCAACAATGTAAGTTATCCTAGAGACATACAAGGAATAACCTGGACACACTCACAAAGTCCTGGACACACTGCCAAAGCTGCAGACATCCACCTTTCCCTGGCTCCTCTGCCCACATTCCACTACTGCCAGGCCTCACCCCTCCTGGAACGCCTGACAGCACACAGACCAGAAACAACATTATTATAACCATTGCCCCATCTAAGCAGCACACAGGAACCATGCTCAGGGGATTACCTGTCCTGGGTCAGCCAAGAGTCGAGGTGACAGAGTAATGGAAGCACCTGGCCAGAAAGAGTGAGCCCCTGCCTCACAGGCCTTTTAAAGGGGCTTGTGAGGGGAGTGGTTACACAACAGTACAATACCGCCCCCTCTCAGTTGATAGGTGAGTCACAGGTGGGCAGGAGCGAATACCTAAGCGTTGTGGGCTAAGGAGTTGGGATGGGCAGGAACAGGAACTGGGCTTGTAGCTAAAAATGCCTAGACTAATTGGACTTATCTGCATCCAATATCCTGGCTAAATTAGGATGTGGGGGGAGTGGCTGAGGATGGAATTATTATTCCATTGCTGTTAGGACCCATCTTCAGGACAGAGGGTAGAGGACACAGCCACATTTCATTTGCCCACTGTCAGTGGGTGCTGGCTATCACTGGCTGCACCCCATAACAAGATCTGAGTGGGGCGCAGCCCTGGTGCTGCACCTGTGTGGGCGTCGGGCTCAGATGCAGCAGTGGCACAGAGAGGTGCGCACAAGTGTAGGCTTCTGGAGCACTGACAGTCAGGGAGAGTCCTTGGGCTGCATCCACTCATGGGCCTCCCCACCTGGCCCTCATCCACGCGTGGGCCTCCCACTCTGCCCCTCGTCCACGCGTGGGCCTCCCACTCTGCCCCTCGTCCACGTGTGGGCCTCCCACTCGCCCCTCGTCCACGTGTGGGCCTCCCCACCTGCCCCTCGTCCACGCGTGGGCCTCCCCACCTGCCCCTCGTCCACGCGTGGGCCTCCCACTCTGCCCCTCGTCCACGTGTGGGCCTCCCACTCTGCCCCTCGTCCACGCGTGGGCCTCCCCACCTGCCCCTCGTCCACGCGTGGGCCTCCCACTCGCCCCTCGTCCACGCGTGGGCCTCCCACTCTGCCCCTCGTCCACGCGTGGGCCTCCCCACCTGCCCCTCGTCCACGCGTGGGCCTCCCCACCTGCCCCTCGTCCACGCGTGGGCCTCTCCACTCAGCCACAAGCTTTTTGGGGTCCTGTTGTGATTCTCCATGGGTCATTTGCTCACTTGGCTTCTGCACTGCCTCCTGTGCAGCCCCGCGGTGCCAGTGAGAAGTGGTGAGCAGACAGACCTGCCGTCTGAGCTGAGCCAGGCTGTTGAGCTCCTTGTCCTCAAGCAAGCACTCCCTCCGCATGGGACCAGTTGCTCTTTGTTCAGAGGATAAGATGATTTGTGTATTTCTGAAGTCTCTGTGTTTTTTTCAAAGATCTTTAACCTTCATTTGGTTTATTTTCAGTTGTAGTATAAAATGTATGCATAAAAAATCCCAAGCGCCAATGCAGTAGCAAGGCAAGTGAAGCCTCTGCCTGCAGTGCAGCATCTCCTATGGGCACTGGTTCCTGTTCTGGCTGCTCCGCTTCCCATCCACGTTCCTGCTATGGTCTGGGAAAGCAACGAGCATGACCCAAGTCCTGGGACCCTGTACCCACATGGGAGACCTGCAAGAAGCTTCTGGCTCCGAGCAGCCAGCTTTGGCCGTTGTAGCCATTTGGGTAGTGAACTGGCAAATCTCTCTACATGTACTTCCTTCTGCCAGCAATCTGCCTTTCAAATAAAAATTAGTCTTTACCAAAAATAAGTCTTAAAACTAAAACGCATCTTAGTCATTTTGAAATATACAAAGGCATGGCAGTATCTGTGTTCTTTTTTTTTTAAGATTTATTTTATTTTTTATTGGAAAGCCAGATATGCAGAAGGAGAAACAGAGAGGAAGATTTTCTTTCCACTGGTTCACTCCCAGTGGCCACAACAGCCAGAGCTGAGCTGATCCGAAGCCAGGAGCCTGGAGCCTCTTCTTGGTCTCCCACGCGGGTGCAGGGTCCCAAGGCTTTGGGCCGTCCTCGACTGCTTTCCCAGGTCACAAGCGGGGAGCTGAATGGGAAGCGGGGACGCCGGGATTAGAACCGGCGCCCATATGGGACCCTGGTGTGTGCAAGGCGAGGACTATAGCTACTAGCTAGGCTGCCGCGCCGGGCCCAGTACCCAGGTTTTTAATGTGGCTCCATCTTTACCACTGTCTGCTGCCTGCACTGTGCATTTCGCAACGTGGGAACTCTTCTCACTAGACGCTGACTTCGCAGCCACAGCGGCCACTGCTGGACTGGCTGCCTCTAGAAGGTTCCTTGAGAAAGTGGACTCTGTGGCTCTGTGTGACCAGCTTATCTAACCCAGTGCCATATCCTCGAGGCCAGCCTGTGTCCTGCTGTGTGGACAGGCCGTAGTGCGTGTGTCTTCTGTCCGTCAGCAGGCATTGCAGTGTTTCTGCCTCCAGTTTGGAGACAAATGCCAGTGTGAACACGAGCGAACAACTACTGAGATGTCTCTTTTTAAACCTAGCTTTACAAAAATACAAATTCCACGCAGCAAACAGTCCCCGTGCCCTCTGGCCCGTGGTGTCAACACACACAGGCAGGTAACTGTGCGTGAGGAAGAACATTTCTGTCCTGTGCCCCCCAGGCTCTCGGGTACCCCCTCCCTCCATCCTGGGAGCCCCACTCAGTTCTCTGTGACCGAAACGCCCTGGACGGTCACAGGCATTACGGCCACCGGTGGGGCCAGCTGTTCCCACAGCACAGAGCGGGTAGGCTCGCTCTGCTGGGTAGGGACCCCTCTGTCGAGGGCCATTTGCTGTATATAACATTAATATTGGGCCATGCCCAGTCACCAGCTGACCTGACTCAGTGATTCCAGTTAACTGGTTCACAGGCCCTGCATTCCCCACGCGTGCCTGTGCGTTCCTTCCATGGCAAGAGTGTCCGCCATGTGGATGTCCCACAGGACGTGTACCCACCTACCAAGTGAAGAACATCTGGGTTTCTGGTTTGGGGCTTTGGAGAATTCCTAAAGTGTCTGTGCCCCTATGGAGACAGACTTGCCTGGAGGTATGTCCTCGTTTCTGCTGAGTCCCCGGGAGTGGGACTGTCTCGGCCCTCTTGCCGGCCGTCGTGCTGAGTGTGGCGACGTGTGGCTGCCTCTCCCGGCCACCGCCCCGGCCGCAGAGCTGGATGTTGCTTTCTGCTGGCTGACTTGCCGTCTGGGGAGCAGCTGGAATGAAATGCCTGCTCGGATCTTCGGCTCCTGTGTGTGTTGTGTCGCTCACTCTTACCCTTGAGCAAGAGACCCATGTATGTTCTGAATTGGGTCCTTCCTCAGCTGTGTCTGTCCCTGTCTGAGGATCTGTGTCTGGGCTTTCCTCCCCTGAAACGTGTGAGCTGGAGCTGGGGACAAGGCTGTGACACGGTGCTCGCTGAACCGCGACCTTGCCCGCCTGGCCCTGCTGCTGCGGGAAGCAGGCCCATATGTCTCTGTCCTGAGGTCACCACATCAACCAGCAGTCTAGGCCACCAGGGATCTTGGAGCAGTGACAGGTTCACCCAGCAAGGGCGAGGAGTCCGCCCTCCTCGTCCATGGTATTCAGAGTCTCCTGGAAGCAGTCTTGGCCTACGTGCCGGAAGCCGTCTGAAGAAGGTGCCACCTGTGCCTTCCACAGGGCGCATGCAGTGTCGTTGAGCCCGGGAACGCTAAGGTTTGCCCTGAGAGGCGATAACCTGAAGGCTCAGGGTGTGCCCTGTGGCCGAGCCGTAGCAGGCCGGGCTAGGCTAAGCTGCTCTCATGTCGGTTCCCTGCTCACATGCACCGGGCCACGGTCAGGCTCTACAGGGTGCTGTGTGGATGTGCAGGACACTCTGCTCCCTGCTGGCCTCAGCAGCTGACAACAGTGCCTGCTGCCCCTGGCTGGACAGTGTCCTCTGACAGAAAGGGCTATCGGTTATTGAGCTCAACCTCAGCGCTAGTATCTGGCCAGGCACCAGCAACCCTGTTCTGGATCACCACGTGGTCCTTGCCACCCTGCACAGGTGCGTGTGCTGTTCTCGACCACTCCCAAGCTCCGAGGGCAGCCCGCCCTGTCTTCCCTGGAGCCCAGGCAGCTGACAGAGCGCGTGCTCATGACATAGAAAGGTGGGAATGAAGTGCGCTCTGCCGTACACGTCGTTTGTGGTAAAACATGCTTTCCTGTTTCCATTGTTGACAGTGAAGAGGAAGAAAAGCTCCAAGTCAGAGGCCAAGGGAACCGTGTCTAAAGTCACTGGGAAAAAAATCACCAAGATCATCGGTCTGGGGAAGAAGAAGCCATCCACAGACGAGCAGACGTCATCGGCTGAGGAGGACGTGCCCACCTGCGGTAAGGCGGCCCTGGGCCGGGGCGGGCCCTGCAGCCGGAGTGCCCTGCACCTGCGGCCTGCCGCTTACCTCCCGCAGCCGGCGCTTGGGAGGGGCTGCAGTGATCCCAGGATCCACATTCTCTCTTTGATCCTATGAAGCAGTCAAATTCTTTGTAAATATTTGTAAACCAAAATAAGTATGCGTGCATTGGTGAAGTCGGGCCAACACACACACAGGAAGAATATGAACTAGGGACACACGCATACACAGAGAATATGAAATAGGCCCAGACACACACACACACTATGAAATAGGACCACCACACACACAGGCTTACACACACAGGCTTACACACACAGGCATGTGAGGTCAGGCCGAGCACTTATGGCCCTGAGATCAGTTCTTTCCATTGGGCTGAGTCGTCAAAGGAAAAAGGAAACTTTCTTACAGAGTTGTGTTTCTCAAAGTTTCCAGTCTGGCCCCAGGGACTGAGATCTCTCCACTGCGCACACAGCCAGGGTCTTTGGAGTAGCCCCTGTATATCAGAGACTGCAGTGACGTCGTACACAGCCAGCTCTCCCGTGGCTTCCAGGCCAGGTACACAACCTGCACTCGCAGGGTTAACTCATGTCAGCCAGCTCTGCTCGGTGAGCTGGGAGAACACCACATAGGGAGGCCATGGGAAGCGGAGCTGGACCGGCGCTGCCTCTGCGAGGCCGGGTGAGCCTGCCCCGGGTGACGTTCCCCCGGTGAGCCGGCCCTGGGTGAGCCTGCCCTGGGTGAGCCGGCCCTGGGTGAGCCTGTCCTGGGTGACGTTCCCCGGGTGACGTTCCCGGCTGAGCCTGTCCCCGGTGACGTTCCCCGGGTGACGTTCCCCGGTGACGTTCCCGGCTGAGCCTGTCCCTGGTGACGTTCCCCGGGTGACGTTCCCCGGGTGAGCCTGTCCTGGGGGAGCCTGTCCCGGGGGAGCCTGCCCCGGGTGACGTTCCCCGGGTGACGTTCCTGGCTGAGCCTATCCTGGGGAAGCCTGTCCTGGGTGACGTTCCCCGGGTGACGTTCCCGGCTGAGCCTGCCCTGGGTGAGCTTGTCCCCGGTGACGTTCCCCGGGTGACGTTCCCGGCTGAGCTGTAGTGAGCTCACTACGGGCATGCACCTGCACAGAGGTCGGAAAGGAGCAGTGATCTGTGTGTAAGTGGTATTGCACACTCAGCCCCCATCAGTGTGGCTCCAGTACCCCTCTCTGTCTCATCCCCTCTCCCCTTGAGTGTCCCTCACATGCAAGATACTGGGTGCTGGTGAGAGGCTGCCCACAGTGCCTTTGCTGGGCAGGGCACACAGCCAGATGGACTCAGCAGGTGCCAACATCTGGCTCTAAGTCCAGGCAGACGGGACATGGGGTGGACACTCCCGGGGGGCTGTGGGCCATTGCTGAGCCCCTGGCTGTGACTCCTCAGCTCCCCCTTGGCTTTCAGAGTCACCAACATTCATGGATGAGCAGGGGAGGTTCCCAGAACCTGAGAGCCAGCTCACCTCTGGCCTGTCTGCACTGCCGCCTGGGCTGTCCCAGGGGTGTGGCAGTACAGTCTCAGGAGGGCAGGCCCTGTGAGCTGCTTGGGAGGGTCTCAGAGCTGGTCGAGTTGGCCCCGCCTCATCTGGTTGCATGCTGAGGGCATACATCCCAGCCTTGGACGGAGGGAGCTTGTTGGTCCCCTTGTCCTGTGCTGGCAAGTTCCCTACCGGGTACCACTCTCCGGGTGCCCATCATCACTGGGGAGTGTCTGCCTGTGTCTTTGCTTTCCAGGGCCCTGCTGCCCTCTGCTTGCTCCTCACTGTATCTCTCCAGACCACCGATGGGATTCTTGGAGTCAGGCAATAATGCAGTGAGCCGGCACCCCACACAGTCCCCCTGCCCCTCTGCTGCCCAGCTCAGGGCCTTGCCTATCTTGTCTCCTGCATTGCAGTATGAGGAGCAGGCTGGGCTCAGCTTGCAGAGGCCTGGCTGCCAGCCCAGGGCAGACTGGGGCAGAGCACCCAACAGATGCCTGGTGACCGCAGGAACCGTTTGCCAGCCTGGGGCAGGCTGGGGCAGAGCACCCAGCAGAGATCTTCCACCTTCCCAGAGCAAGTGGAGGCTGAGCTGCTCCGCCTGCCCTACTGCTGTGCTCTGCTCCGCGTGCAGCTTCACTTTCTCTTTGTTCAGTGTCAGCCCAGCACTGCACTGAAAGATGTTCCTGAGGCCTCTCCAGGGCTGGCAGAGGCAGAGTATCTTCTGTGCAAACACTCTTACTGAGATTGGACAATGTTTTACATACAGTAACACCCCCACTGCAGGTGCCGGGACAGTAACACCCCCCCTGCAGGTGCTGAGATCTGAAACAAAGTTGCGTTGCAGGAGGAGTACCCTCACATTGTTCCCCAAGGCGACCCAGGGGCTCAGCTCAAACTGAGCTGGGCTGGGCTGCTCTTGCCTGCATGGCCTCTCCTTCCGCTCTCCCCACCCAGAAAATGGCACCTTTCCCACCCTCCTTCTGCGAAGATGGGAGACAGACCCACACTGGACCCATTGCTGTGGAGCTTCCCATTGTGTAAACACATCTGTTGCCGGGGTGATTATTTTTTCTAGTTGAAACTGTAAATAAATCCTAGGAAGGCATTGAAATATGGTAATATCATATGAGGTCATACTCTATGAAATGTGAGCATATCCAAAGTCACCGTCCTGTGGTGTGGTGTTGATCTCTCAGCTCTGGGCCAGGCTCTCAGGGGAGGGGGCATAGAAGGCTAGGCCCTTTCTCTGGCTGCTGGACAGTGCCCAGTGGTACCACCCTGCCCTTGGCTGCCCTGCAGGATACGCAAGCAGCCCTGCCCTGGCAGACTGGCCGCAGCTGGTGATGGCTCACTGAAGCCCCTCACATCCCTAGCACGACTTCACGTCCTCTCCTGGACCAAGACCTCTCTGCACCTTAGCTGTGAGGTCCTCTGTCCTTGAGGCCCCCAGGCGGAGCTGGGGTGTAGCAGCCCCTGCCCGCCCCGTGTCCTCGCTGCTCCGGCAGCGCCCTGCGGCTCTGGGCTGCTTGCGCGCAGCATCTCCATGGTGAGGCTGCCACTCCTCTCCTCTCCAAGGTGCTGGCTGGTTCAGGACGGAGCCTGGCTGTTGGCGGTCATTCCATACATGCCCACCAGGAGGCGAGCTCTCCATGTGTGGTCAGGGCACACGCAGGCAGTAGCCTGAGGCACGTCCCTCAGGCTGGGAAGGCAGAGTTGACTGTGCCTGGTACTAGGGCTTCCCTTCTAAGTAATAAATGCATCATTTCCCAGTAGTGCTTGATAGTATGGAAACTCGCGGGTGAGGCCTCTGTGGCTCCCAGAGGAGCGTCAGGGCTGCCTGCGCTGTGTGGCCTCACGTCTGGGCAGCCGCCTCCTCCTCCCTCAGAAGGCCTTTGGGACACCCTCCAGCTTGGGTCCCCCCAAAGGTATGAAGTGGGGGACCTACAGTCCCATGAAGTGCCTTCTCTGAACACAAGAGGGCGCTAAGCTGCAGGCCTGGAAGCTGTGGCCTGCCTTCTTACCTCCAGACAAAGTTGTAGGGCTAGAGGAAGCTGCAAGACTTTCTCTTTAGTGTCTCACTAGAAATGACCTCACACACACAGATGGAAATTTAATCTTTTTTCCCTTATTTTGTGAGAGATTTTTGATCAACTTGTTTCTGTTAGAAAGTAGTAATTTTGAGCCTTGCCAGCCCCAGAGCCTTCTTCCCTCTGCTTTGATGACACCCCCAGCAGCCATCTGCCTCCTGTCACAGGCAAGCTTCCAGGGAGGTGTACCAACCAAGACAGCATCCCCAGCTGGAGCAGCCGTCAGGTCGGCCTTCAGCTGCCTTAGCAGCATAAGCTGTGGTGACTGCAGCACAGGGAGGGCCAGCCCCCGGGGGCTCTGACACGGCACCTGCTGCTCCCAGAGTCGGCTTTGTTGTCCCCGTGACGGACATCTGTGATTGGCTGAGGTGTTCCTTGTCCCCATGACGGACATCTGTGATTGGCTGAGGTGTTCCTTGTCCCTAGGAGGAGCTGTAGGTGAGGTTTCGTGGCAGGGGTCCACAGACACCATGCTAGGCTGAGGCACAGTCTAGAGCACAGTGCCAGGCCCACTGGCTGCTTGGAGGTGGTGGGGTTAAACATGATGGAGGGAGGGTGCTGTCGGGGCTCCTGGCCGTGTCCTTGCATTGGCATGGCCACCTTTGCATCCTTTAAAACAGATGTGTTAGCACTGGGTTCCAGCAGGCTGTCACCATTTCAAGTGCTGCTGGTCAGGGTCGTAGCCAATTAGACATCAGGAAATAGGTAATGCTGACTTCCTTAATGGCAAGTGGCTCAGTGGAATTCACTTTTATGAACTTTAGCATAAATTATACCATAGCCTGTGTCTGAGCCAGCAGGTGTGTGCAGAGGTTTGTCCATTTTTTTGAGAGAATAGCTTTCACATGCCATGACAGCAGTAGCTATAATCTGGGTCACACAGCACATCTGGGGTGCCTGATCCAGGCCACACAGTCACCCAGGGGTGCCTGGGACACGCAGCCTCATACTCATGTAACCCTGGCCGTCATACTCAGGTACTCCTTGCTGTAGCAGATTTCCACAAGGAGGTGTCCCCAGTGATGCTGCGTGCACAGCGACAGTCAGTTTATTCAAGGCCTGCCCGTCTCGCAACCTCCTCCAGAGTTCAGTGGTACTGCGCTTGTGCAGCCGCTGCCCTGTCGCTGAGGTGGCCAGCAGAGGTGTGCTCAGCCAGGACTGTGTGTGTGATGGTGGCATGGCCACAGCTGTCTTCCCATGTGGTGTTCCCACCCGTGTTCTGGTGACCAGCCATCCGTGCAGAAGCCGCCATGTGAGCGAGCTGTCCTTCTGGGTCATGACATCAGCGTCACGGGCTCCGTGGGTTCACGTGTTGCTGATCAGGCACAGAACTTCACACATAATGAAGGGAAGGTGCCCACCCAAAAAACCCTTGGAAAGGCATCTGGGAACCTGGGAATTAAAAGGGGTTCATTGTGTTCCAGGGGTGTGGCATGGAAGAGCACCCGGATAGTGGGGTTCAGCAGGTGGGACTCCTTGTGTTTCTCTTTAACCGGCAGTGTCTGTGCCGTTGGCCTCTCTGAGTCTCAGGGGTGCACAGCAGCTGTGTGGTGCTGCAGGGTGAGTGCAAGTCACAGCCACCCTGTGACATCTAGTTTCCCAGACTTTGTCATTTTTGGAGAAATTGGGTCTTGTGTTTGTGGAAACTGGCGTGTCCATTTTCCTGGCCTGGCCTGGAGGGGTGGGCCGGGTTGTCACCCTCCCAGGCTGCAGCATCTCTGGCTGTAACCTTCTGAAGGGTAGGAGTCACAGGGGGCCAGACACAAGGTGGGCACCTCGCAGGTCAGCTTCGTTTGTCAGAGTCCTCCGGTGGGCCCTCAGCGGAACATCGAGACCACCGAGTCCACCTTAAAGGCCTCCTGGCATTTGCTGGGGCCCCTGACACCTCCCAGGCCATCTGGGTCTTGGGAAGGTTTCCCCTGTAGACCTTCGTTCCCAATACTGTGCCCAAGCCTGCCTCTGGTGCCCAAGGCTGCTTGTGCTGCCTGTCATCTGCCTGTGGCACTGGTACCTGAGTCCTTTCCCACCTGTTCTCCCCTCTGTGGCTATCTTGCCCCATTTCCTGCTAGCTACCCCAACCAGCTGGCTGGGGGACAGTGCACATGCCCTGGGGAACACTGGGCCCCACACAGACCTTAGGTGTCAGGAGCCAGGTTCTTGGCCTGTTTCAATTGTGGGATTCTGCTGCAAATCCCAGAGCCTGTGGAGAAATCCGTTTCCCGTGTTCTTAGAATGTGGGTTTAAGGCCGCTGCACTGGCTCACTCTGGTCGCAGCTGGGTGCCTGACCCCTTGCCAAGCAAGGTCTGCACTTGCTCCACAGGCTACCTCAACGTCCTCTCCAATAACCGCTGGCGCGAGCGCTGGTGCAGGGTCAAGGACAACAAGCTCGTTCTGCACAAGGACAGGGCCGACCTGAAGACTCACGTCGTCTCCATCCCCCTGCGTGGCTGTGAGGTGATCCCGGGCCTCGACGCCAAGCACCCACTGACCTTCCGCCTGCTCCGCAACGGCCAGGAGGTGGCCGTATTGGAGGTACGGGGTGTGCGTGCATCCTGCCCTGTGGCCAGGGCCCCCGGCGCAGCCTGCTGTCAGACACACATCCTCATGGGCTCTGCCTTTGCTCTCTCTGAGCCACACTGACCCACAGGTGGCACAGGCCGGCTGTGGCCAACCTGGCACATCTGGTCTCCCTGCCTCAGTCCCTGCTTCTTTGTATCGTTTCTCTCACTGTCTGCAGCCACAGCACAGGAGCAGTTCCATCTGGTAGACTGCTTTTTCAGGGTGCCCAGGAAATGGCTTGCTTCAAAGTTGCCAGTGAACTTTTTTCCCTAACTGGTGATAAATGGGCTTCACAGTTGGTATGGAATACTCCAGACTTCGCCCAAATGAAGCAGGTGTTTGGGGCCCACCTGTAGCTAGCAGGCAGTGAGCTGTGTGCCCCAGGAGTGGAAGGAGTGCCTTGGGCTGTGGAAAGCTGCTTTCACTGAGCTCCCTGCTCCTGGCACAGTAGTTGGCCATCGGAGCCGGCATGCTCATCCTTTGCACAAGTTCCGTTCTGTTCCCCTTCTCATCCACCTGTTCCCACCCTGTCTACCCTGGTCTGTTCTCTCGCTTGTCCTGGCTGTTACCATGGCGGTGTCGCCAGGTACATACATGTTCCCCTGTGCCGTGCTCGGCAGTGTGAAGGGGCACCAGGTGCTGGGGTCTAAGACCGTGAGATGCTTGTGTGGTGACCACGCAGTGGGGCTGCCACCAGGGTAAAGCAGCCTGTTAGACTGTCCTGTTCTTGAATTGCTGGAAGTTGTTTTCACAGAAAGCTATAGAAGTAAGCCATGGATGCCCCAGTCTCAGGATCTTCTTACTCTGTATGGGTGCCAGCCCACATCCTGGATGTTGCATTTCCCATCCAGTTCCATGTTAATGGCCTGGGAAAGCAGTTGAAGGATGCCCAAGTGGGTGGACCCTGCCCCTATATGGGAGACCTGAATGGAGCCCCTGGCTCCTGGCTTTGGATCAGTCCAGCCCTGGCTGTTGTGCTCAACTGGGGAGTGAGTCCGTGAACGGAAGACCCCTCTCTTTCCCTCTCTCTGTAACTGCACTAGTCAGTTGCTTGAAAAAAAAAAAATCCCAGTGATTTCAAAATGTTCCTACAGCTGTAGAAACACAGTTGGTCTGAAAGTCAGTTAACTCTCAGTGCCAGCTTGTCCAAGAGAAAGCAACCAGCCAGTTCAGCTCCGCGGGGGTGGAGCGCCCCTCAGTGCGGGCCCCTGGGTGACCCTTGCTTGTCTCCAGGGCTGGCCAGCACCTGCGCGAGGGCAGACTGGCTGCATTCCAGAGCCTTTCTAAACACCTTTGCTGGACTGGCGTTTACCCATCACAGAGCTTGCCACCCCTGGCTCAGAACCATTGGCAGCTGTTTAGGCTCTCCGACTCCTGCTCTGTCCGTGTCATTGTTGTGTAACTGGTGTGCACTGGCGTCCTCCCTGTCATGTTCATGTCCACACCTCACATGCGTTCCTCTCCCTGCCTCTGCAGTGGCATGCTTTTGGAGATGGGCCCTCTCTATGCTGAGATAAAGTGTCCTTGGTCCCCCTCCATAGGCATCCTCCTCTGAAGACATGGGCAGATGGATCGGGATTCTGCTGGCTGAGACGGGCTCTTCTGCAGACCCAGGCGCCCTGCATTACGACTACATAGACGTGGAGGTGTCTGCGAGTGTCGTCCAGACAGCCAAGCAGACCTTCTGGTAAGCCCACGGCCCCTGCCCAAACGCTCCTCCCACGTGCTGTCTGCGTCAACAGAGGGCAACCTCGAGACTCCCTCTTTCCCTGTCGACCCACACTTCCTAAATACTCGCGCTGTTTCTCCTCCCGGGTTTCCTGCTGGAGGAGTCGTATCAGGCCCCCGCAGCTCCGTCTCTGACTCTGAATGCTCGGCTCTGCTGTTGTGGCTGGAGGCACACATGTGTGCTACATGGTGGACCAAGGCGTGTGGTAGGTAGTGGGACGGAGGCACACACGTGTGGTGGGCGGCAGGGTCAAGGCACACACGTGTGGTAGGTGGCAGTCGCTGTATCCCAGGGAAGCCATTTACAGAAGCCTCCGAGGCCGCGTCCAGCCTGTGTGCTGCCATCTGCTGGCCCAGGTGGTGGAGAGGCAGTTCTGAGATGCGCAGTGGGGGTTGTATAATGTGTGACAAGAGAAGCATTCAGAGTTGTCACTCACATGCCTTCTAATTCAAGCTGTGGTTTTTACAAAGTGCTATTACAGGTTGAACTGTCCTGCTGAGCCAAGAATGTTTCGTTGTCGCTGTAATGGTTTAGCCGTGGCAGCAGTCCCAGGGTGGGGTACAAACCCGAGCTGCTCGGTCCTTGCTGGGCAGACCGTAGCCTCACACTGTGTTCAGGATGTACAAAGACGCTGTGAGCTTCACCTGTCTGGGCATTTGTGTCAGTGACACCACTGTGCTGACACTTCGACCCCTGCCTGTAGTCCTGTACTCCATCGCTTCCACGTGTTCACAACAGTGAGAGGACGTGCTGGTTCCCCTGAAGCCACCTTGGACGAAGTGCTAAAAGTGGCAGTTAGCCCAGGGTCAGCCAATAGGTGCTGTTGTCCAGCCATCTGCCTGCTGGCATGGAGCGGCCACAGAAGGCGAGCGCGCACGCAAGGGCAGTGGGCAGCTCCACGTGCAGCGCTCTCCTGCCTGGCTCGTGGCGCCACTACGGTTTTGCAGTGTGTGCTTGGAAAACCAGCTGACACCCTGTGAGCACTCTGGCTTGGGCACTAGCTGCATTTTTGTGGGGTGAGCTAGCTTGATGTACTTGTCATCTCTGGAAAATCAGCGTCCAGCCACGCTGCTTGGGATGGAGAGAGCCGTTGCTGCGCCGTGAGCGGCTGGGAGCCTGCGAGCTAGACAGCTGCCGGCACATGAACTCCCACAGTCAGGCCCACACAGGCCCACTGCCGACAGCGTGGGCTGGGGCTGACCAGGTCAGAAGGTGTGCCCCGGTCCTGCCTGCATCTGAGATCACCCCAGACATGTCTTGGTGAGAGAAGGAAGGCAGTTGCCGCCGGTTTGAGTCTCCAGTGTCTCTCATCTCTAGGAGAACCAGAGCTCAGGTCTGCCCACGCAAAGCGGTTTTGGCCACAGGGATGACTGCAACATGCTTCCCTTACCCACGTCCGGCCCACGGGAGTCTGGGTCGCTCTGTGTCCTCAGACGAAACAGCACTAAACAGACTAAACAGGCCGAACGCCTGGCACTCTGGTGACGCAGACATCACGAAGATTTACAGACAGGTAGACCAGCAGTGCCTTGGACTCACAGTGGAGAACATGGTGGAATGGGGTGGAGTGGAGCGGGGTGTGCTGTAGTGTAGTGTGGTGCAGTATAGTGTGGTACACTCTCACTAGTCTGGTCTGAACTACGGATCCTCTGGGACTCCAGCCAGCCCTCCCCTGTTGGAGGCAGAGTCCGTGGACTAACACGTTCCAGGGAGCTCAGCTGAGCTGCTGGGCTCTGCCCGGCGCTCTGATGAGGAACACTGGCATTGCACGTGGCTGCTTTAGCTGCTACAGCAGCACCGGCCACACTGCTGTGGTTTTTCAACAAGTGGCTGGCAATTTCATTTCTAGCATAGAGGCGGTCGGTAGGGAGTCCCGGCTCCTGTCTTGGTGAGGTCTTCCCAGCAGGACATGTGTGGATGAGCCATTCCCAAATGCCCAATGCCTCTGCCTCCTTCAGGCAGCCTGGCGAGGCAAGGCGATGTTTGCCCCTCATCCCGAGAGTCCAGGTGTGGAAATGACGTCAGCAGCAGGTGGCAAGAACCAGTCCACCTGCCCATGTCAGCCAGCTGTCCGCTCTGAGGCAGAGACCCGTGAGCATAAGGAGGGTAAGCTAGTGTGGGGCTGCTACTTGCCTTTTCTGCCTTCCCACTCCAGGACGTGCGTGGGCAGTGTGGTCCATCTCCTCGGCCAGGGCGTGCATGGGCGGTGTGGCCCATCTCCTTTGTATCTTGAGCATTGGCATGATGCTTGGCCCTGGATGTTGTGGGGCTGGCGCGGTGCTCCAGGGAGAGCTGACTGCTGCCTGTGGCAGGAGGAGGCCATGACAGTGGGAAGCAGTCTCATGCTGCACCACGCAAGGGGACAGCGGCGCGTGTCGTCAGGACTTCCTGTTGCTCACACGCGTGTCGTTCTGAGTCCTTTGTACTCTGCAGGTGTCCCAGCACGTCTGCTGGTCATTAAGTGCTGTGCAGGAAATGGAGCATGTTTTTAAATTTTTTTTATCTACTCGCAAAACAGTGAAATGGGTTGGGTGAGATATCTTCAACTCATCAATTTAGTCCCAAAATGACCACATTAGCCTGGACTGGCGAGGCTGGAGCTCGGAGCTCCATTCAGATCTCCACACGCGGGCAGCAGCCCAGACCTTGAGCCGTCACTCCTCATATGCACTCGTGGGGAGCTCGGCTGGAAGGGGAGTAGCCAGGACTGACACAGCACTCTGACGGTGTGGGTACCCCAGGAGGTGGTGCAGCCCCTCACTGCCACCCCCAAAGTGTGTCGGAAATGACTGTTTTAAGGAGCTCTGCAGAGCCAGTGTGGCCTGGTGTCCCGGGATGTCGTCTGTACTTAGCAGGAGGGTGCTTCCGTTGTAACTGTCAACTCGTAATCTCGTTTAGAGGGAACCCTCACTACAGTCTCCCTTGGACCTAGCTTGGCTTTTCTTTGTAACCTAAATCAAATGTGGAAAGGCCACAGTTTTTGAGAAAGACAGGTAGATTTTAGCCTTGCACTATTTTCTGTTAAATGCATGTAAGAGCAGGTGGTTGGCCTGGAAGTAGAGGCCCCCATCAGGACCCCTGGCCCGTATCGGGGCTCCTGGGAGAGCTTGGGTGGTGACTAAAGTGGTTTCCACCACTCATGGGGAGTCCTGCACTGCGCCCCAACGCCCGGCTGTGGCCCCCGACGCCCAGCTGTGGTCCCCAACGCCCAGCTGTGGCCCCGACACCCGGCTGTGGCCCCCGACGCCCGGCTGTGGCCCCGACGCCCGGCTGTGGCCCCGACGCCCGGCTGTGGCCCCGACACCCGGCTGTGGCCCCGACACCCGGCTGTGGCCCCCAACGCCCGGCTGTGGCCCCCAACGCCCGGCTGTGGTCCCGACACCCAGCTGTGGCCCCGACGCCCGGCTGTGGCCCCGACACCCAGCTGTGGCCCCGACACCCAGCTGTGGCCCCCACTGTGGCATCTCCCTTTCTCTTCCGAGGAGACGCAGGTTTGCAGGCTGCCATGTGAGTTTGTGTCCACAGGGCTGAATTACCTCACGCATCTCCGTGGGAGAGGCTGGTCAGCCGTGGATGCATTTTTACCTTTTCCTTTCACAAAAACACAGCTGCGACATAGGCCATGCTCATTTGCAGACTCCCGTGGGATAATGGCCAAGATGCAAGCCATCTCCCTGGTCTCTCCACTCCGCTAACGCACCTTCCCCGGGAGAGCCAGCTGGGTGTATGGTGTGTCTGAGTGAGAATGGGCGGCGTCCGTAGAGAACAGTGCGGCCCTGCCAGGGAGGCTGGCGCACTCAGCTATGGAGTCATCAGCGAGTGTGGCTCCAAGCCGCGGCCACGCAGTGATCCACAGGGGAGGCAGGTGGGGCGCGTGCTCTCCAGGCAGGCCTGGCAAGGAGGCGCCACCGTGACCGTGCTGGCCAGAGATGGGGAGCGGCCTTCCCTACACCCTCAGCCCTGAGGCAGAGAGGAAGCCCAGGGCCTGTGAGGAGCTTGTGGTTCTTGGCCTCATTTCCACTTCACCGCTGAGCTACAGGCCCTGCCATGGCCACGGCCCCACCTGGACATGAGGGCCCGATGTCCGTCTTGGCTCTGGAATGCATGGCCTTTCCCAGTCCGTGTTCTCTGCCATCACAGGTGGCCTTGCCTGGACTGGAGGTTCTTTCTACCTGGGACTTCCTTGGGCTGCGTCCCGCACAGTGACAACAAAGCATCTGTACATGCCGTGACCCCTCCAGGGTCCTGCCGTGAGGAGACAGACGTGGGCCCATACCGGCTTCCAAGTTCAGACTGTTCGTGGCCGAGACCCCACGGGGGAGAGCCGCCGTGTTTCATACTGCAGTATGTGTGCTGTCTTGTGGCAGACACTGGGTGTGTGTGCTGTGTGACCCTAGATCCCCACACTGCATCATCTGTAGGAACTTCCCAGAAATCACCTGCTTCGTGGTGGGAAGGGCCTGTTGTGACCTCTTCCCTTAGAACCCCGGGGCCCTGAGGCTGTGGCCAGGAGACACCGTGTGTGTTTGTCTTTGTGTCACCATATCACACCTTCTAAGCCATGAGTCTGGCCACTGTACAAGGCCATTTCTACAGGCTCAGGGAGCGTGTGTTGTACTGCTGCGAAGGGGTGGTAAACACACACTAGAAACTGCTGCTCTCCCAGGCCGTAAGGAGGGAGCTGGCCCAGAAGTAGAGCAGTGAGGACAGGATCCAGCGCCCTTATGGGATGCCAGTGCTTGCAGGTAGAGGACTAGCCAACTGAGCCATCATGCTGGCCCCAGGCCACAAGCTCTTAACCAAAAAGTCCTGGGAAGGTGACATGGCGTTGCAGGCCACGTGGTGCTCCCCTGCCCGTGAGACTCACGCTCATCAAAGAGCTCGTGATACCAGAAGAGGCCATGGAGCATGTGGACAGGACGTTCACAGCTGTGACTAGTGGAACAGACCATGCACAGGAGCTGGCCCCTTTGGCATGGACTGGTGTCACAGCAGTAGTTGGTTCTGGGGCCTCTGTGGTTTGCGGGCATTGCTGTGTGTGCCCGGTGGGCATTTCCATGGCCCCTGGCCGCAGGGGGCAGTGAGGGCTATCCTGACTGAGATCGTGGGAGGGAGGGGTCTTCCCTCGTCCCTCCAGGAGACATCTTCCTGCCCAACACTGTCCATCACTGTGGCCCGCGCCTGCAGCCCTCCTCTCCCAGCCTTGGGCACACAAGACCTGGTGCTACCGCAGAGCAGGATCAAGAGTCAGGTCTTGGGTGTTGACCCTCCCTCTGTCTTCAGTTTCATGAACAGGCGCGGGATTTCCACTAACCCGTACCTGGGGAGCCACTCCAACGGCTACGCGCACCCGAGCGGCACGGCCCTGCACTACGACGACGTCCCCTGCATCAACGGCTCGGTGAGTGCTCTTCTCGGGAGGGCTTCTTAGACAGCCAGGCTCTCTGGAACATTCTGCACTCTGCTTCCTCTGGCTTCAGCCCTGACGAGATAGCACTTTTTAATCCTGACACTGAGGGTTAACAAGACTCTGTCCTCTCTCCTGGTCTCTGACCTGCTGACTTCGCTGGATCACGTGGCCAGGTTAACCCGGTAGACCTTTTGGCGCTGGTTGTCGATGCAGTTACCAGAATGTCTCACGCACTTTACAGAGCTAGCAGGAGAGGAGTATGTTTGGCTCTGTAACTTCGACAAGTCCCCACAGAACACAGTGCAAACTTTCAGTAAGCAGTTCGTTTTCAGCTGCTAAAGCCCCAGAAAGAAATACCACCTGAAGCACCGAACAGGTCACAGGCCGGCAGCCTCCCGGAGCACCTGTAGACACAGAAGGGCAGTTGGCATTAGCCAGCTCACCAGCAGCCAGTCAGCCTGAGAGCTTCAGTTCATTTATTTATTTATTTATTAAAATTTATTTATTTTTATTGGAAGGGCATACCAGATTTACAGAGAGAAGGAAAGCAGAGAAAAAGGTTTTCTATCTGCTGGTTCACTTGCCAAGTGGCAACAATGGTCAGAGCCGAACCATCTGAAGCCAGGAGCCAGGAGCTTCTTCTGAGTCTCCCCCATGGGTGCAGATCCCAAGGCTTTGAACTGTCCTCTACTACTTTCCCAGACCACAAGCAGGGAGCTGGAAGGGAAGTGGAGCAGCCGGGACCCAAACCAGCACCCACGTGGGATCCCAGTGCTTCCAAGATGAGGATTTAGCCACTAGGCCGTTGCGCCATTTTATTTTTCCTGCTTATGTCTTAGGTGTGAGTAGCCTGGTGCTCAGGCCAAGCAAGGCCTACAGAATCATGAGGAACTGTGCCAAGGCAACCTCCTGTGGAACCTGAAATGCAGCAACTCTATAGCAGGCTTTAAAAAAAAGATATCTCGATCACTCAGAAGGCAGAGTGAGAGAGGGAGAGGTAGGGAAAGAGCCATTCTCTGTCCTTTGGTTCACTCTCCAAGGGACTGCAGGGCCAGGCCGGGCCAAGAGCTGCCTCCAGGTCTCCCGCATGGGTGCAGGCCCCAAATGCTTGGACCAGCCTCCGCTGCGTTCCCAGGCATATCAGCAGGGAGTTGGATTGGAAGTGGAGCAGCTGGAACTCAAACCATACTCATATGGGAAGCTGGTGCGACAGGCGGGAGCTTTACCTGCAGGCCGCACTGGCAGCCCTGGCAGGCTAAGCCTTCTATGTTGGATGTTTCCTGTAGCCTGCAGATGGTGCTGGAAACATCCAGATGGCCCCTACAGGAAAAAGGTTCTCCAGCCCCTGGATGAGCAGAGCACACCCCGCATGTGCCTCACTCGTGCCCCCACCTACCCCCACCTGGCAGCACCCTCCGAGCTGCCTGCTTGACCGAGCACTGGGCACCGAGTAAGCACGCCCACGGAGCCCCTGGGCTCAGCCTTTGCTCAGAGCCGCAGGAAGGCATGTGACAGACCTCTGGGCGCTGTCTCTCCGTGGGGGCATCTCGGAGGGCGTAGGTGAAGGCAGGTGCGGTGTGTGCTACTCCTCCCAGCCTGGGCAGAGGCACCTGGTGACTGTGTGATTGATCCTCTGGTCTGGCCGTGGCATCATCCCAGGGCAAGGGCTAGTGTCTGTGGGTGAGCAGACCAAGTCCCTGGGGGGCGGGGGATCGAAGGTGGACAGCCAGTTCCCTCAGGAGCCACGGGCAGCACATCTCACTTTGTGCCCATGACAGTCCCTCTGTTGGTGCCTTGCTCCCACCAGAGCTGGGGAATCTTCTTTCCCAAGGGCTGTTTGAATAGAATCACATCATTCATGAACCATTCAGAATCATCAGCTTAAAAACCAGCCAGCTATAGCTTGATTGCATTGTTTTCCCTTCAGTTACCTTGGCTAAGCCAGACCAAGTGATTTCGTGGGCATGACAAGGTCTGTGGGCCAGACTCCGCAAGCTGCAGCCCGCTGGTCTGCCGGGAGAGGAGTCTGACCGTGAGCCCTTAGTGCACTGCCCAAGCCTGTCGCTTGTCACCATTGCATCCTCCTCCTGTCCTTGCCGTTCACTGTCGCATTCTTCCTTGACCGTGTGTGCCCGCTTTCTCCTAGTGAGCAGGTCAGTGCCAGGAAGAAGAGAAAGGCTGACACCCTGGCTTTGTCCTCAGAGGGCTCACCATGCAATGGCGTGCACAGACCTGAAGTAGTCAGAAGGTGGAGTACCTGGGGGGCTGTGTCCCACTGCAGGACATGGTGTCAGCAGGAACAGACACCTCCAGCTCCCAGGATGGCTGCCAGACCCACAGGAGGCCCCTGTCCGGTGGAGTAGAGCTGAGATCCTACCAGCCAGTGCCTGCTCCGCTGCCCACAGCCCTGCGGCCCTGCGGCCAGGCCAGGCGGCTTGTGCAAGCCCGTCCCCCGGCGACCCCACCACTGTGACCCTGGGAGATCCTGGCCCGGGCCCAGCTGGGTGTTGCCAGGCAGAGCCAGCGCTTCCCCGGACGTGGTCCCCACGCTCCTTTCCTGAGAATGGGTCATCTGAGCCTTTGTTCACGGCCACCAGCTCTTGGCAGTGATGTGCCAGACCCACCTTGGGGCTGTGCCCTGAGCCACCTGGGTGAGGGAATCCACAGGACTGCAGGCCTCACCCAGCTCCACCGCCCACCATGGGGCACTCTGCTACTCTGCCAGTTTAGGTACCCCCAGAAGGAGAGGGGGTGCGGAGCCATTCACAGCTTAATGTGTTTCAGAAATTTAAAAATCTGCTATCCTTTTTTAAAAAATATTTTTGTTATTTTTTGTTTTTATTTGAAGGAGAGAAAGAAAAGAACAAAAAAATTAAAAATAAAAAAGAAAGAGCTTCCATCTGCTGGCTCACTCCCCAAGCACCTGCAATAGCTTCAGGCAATAGCCATATACTGAGAAATCCTACAGGCTTCCTAGTGTGTGACAGGGGCCCAGGTGCTCGAGCCACAGCCACTTGGGGTGCCTGTGCTTCAGTGGGATGTCCAGCTCAGCTCCAGCTGGGTGCTGATGGGCACCCTGGCTTGGGACTGGGAGAGCACACGGGGTTCTGGGCCGTGCAGTGCTGCCAGGTGAGCTGTTCTGGATGGCTCCGCTTCTAGGTTTTGAGACATTTTTATGGCCTATACCTGACATTTTTAGCAACATCAGTCATTCCTACCCATTCATTATTCCCCAGTGACTAATCCAGGATGGAAGAACGTATATACTCACTTCTGATCTAGAAACCTCTGTGGTTTCTGAGCTTTCCTCCTCAGGGCAGCCGCTGCTATTCTGGGAAGGACAGTTTAGACCATTTAAGAGCTCTGGACAATGCATGCTGGCTTGTCATCATGAAGCTCGCACCTCTGTGCCTCTTTGCATGCCATTATTTTTAGATTCTAGATGGTCCCCCAGCAGCATAAAAATAAACATATCAAAATGATTGCAAAGGAATAAATATGCTCCTGTGGCATTTTAAAGGTTTTCTATTTTTATAACAAAGACGGTAACTGCAGGCTGGCAGAAGGCAGCTCTGCAAGAACACAGAAGCAGTCCATGAGCAGAGCATGTAAATTACTATTTTCTACTTAAGTGCAGAGAAATCTATAAAGACCTTTAAAACGTGGCGAGGCCCGGCTGTGGTTATTCGTCTTTGCTTAGAATTTCTGCGTTAACATGTGCACTCACTGAGGGCCACCCCATAAAGTGGCTCACGCCTCTGCCGCTGTCTTGGTTAAGTGTCTCCACAGGCACGATGCCATCAGGGCTTTGGGTTTGGAAATATCCTGTTTTCTGGAACATTTCAGGTCTTTTATCTTCAAGGAGTAAGGGGTACATATGGCCTGGTCCCCAGGGGAGGCTCTGCCATGCCCCCCCGCATGGCACCACCTCATCTTGTATTGGGAACATCCGGATTCTGATTGTCCAGCAGGAAACGTCAGATCATCACTTCTCTGTTTTAATAAGTTAGAACAAAACAGAACTTCTTAATCCAGTGATCCTGGGAACAGTTAAGGGAAAAGTTAACTTTTCTAAAAGACCCCAAAGTTATGGAAGTTCTTTTCTGTCTTCCTGCCTCTGTGTGTGCATGTGGGGGCGGGGCTGTAGTGCGTGGGCTGTGTTTGTGTCTAGTGTTGCTAACATCCGGGGCCTGTGAACCTGTGTGCTTAGAGCAGCCTGCTGCTCTCTGCCTGCGCGTCACTAACAACAAGCTGTGTGTGTTGCAGTGGGAACCGGACGATGCCTTCCCCGCTTCCTGTAGCAGAGGTGTGGGAGAAGCGGTGCTTTACGATAACGCAGGCCCCTACGATAACTTGCCGTCTCCGAAAATCTTTGCCCGCTCCACTGCTGCTGACAGAAAGGCCTCTAGGCTGCCTGCTGACAAGCTCTCCTCTAACCATTACAAACGCCCAGCCTCCTGCAGCCCGCCTCCCGCCGCGTCTCTCACTAACACTTCTTCGGTGGGGAGGGCGTCGGGCGGGCCACACGCTCAGGTACTGCCCCCCACCCTCTGCTAGTCTGGAAGCGCGCCCACTGCCCGGGACACATGGAGGATGGGGCAAGTGGGAGGTGCCCCGAGGGAGCCCCTCACTGGGCGCGTGGCTCTCACAGCTGTCTGGCTTAACCTCTGACTCTTGACTTGCTTGGAAAATTTGCCAAAACTTTAGTAATTACATGACCCAGGGGCAAAGATTTTAGAAAAAGGTAATAAAACTCCTTGAAGCGGTGGTTTCTTTACGGCTTTTGTTACATACAAACGAGAAAGAGAAAGCCCTGTGGTGATGGTTTTTTGGCCTTTGAGCCTGGAGAAGGGTCCCGGTCCTTGAGTGTGAAGGTGTGTGCTGAAGAGGAGTTGTGATGAATACCAAATGATAAATAATTTGGACAAGCAGGGACAGGCAGAAAGACAGAAATCTTGTACCTGCGGGTTCATTCCCCGGTTGCCCACACCGGGTGTGACCCATCTGGTGGAACCCGTGTTTGTCTAAAATGTAGCATTTCAGAGTAAACACTCATTTAATGTTGCCAGGCATTTTTGCCCTGTGAATGTTTTGTGCTTTGCCCAGAGAGCACCTAAGTAAACACAGTAGCCCCAGTAACAGGGAGCAGATGGCCTGCTTCTCATTGAAACCCCATGCATGCCGGGACAGGCCTAGGTGTTCAGGTGGTGGTGGCCTACACTGTGTGTTGGTCATTTGTAACAAGCCACTCTGGTGTCCTCTGTGGCCCGGGCGCAGCAGGTGGGCGTGCTCTTGTGGCTTTCCCAGCAAGCAGGACGGATAGGGTTACACAAGGACAAGTCAAGGTAAGCCCGCTTTATTTTTTCGTTTCCCTCAGAAGCTCAGCTGTGTGCTCCCCGACAGTGCCTTTAGTCCTCATCCCCATCCGGTCACTTTAACAGGGACCTTTCAATTCCATAGAAGATCCCATTCTTGGAACCATCCAGGATGCGTGCAATGCGCTGCACTGTGGGCTGTGCCAGTTAACCTGCTGATGTCCTATGGGAGAGGCGTGTAAGAGGCCAGAGGCCAGGGACGTTTCTGGGGCTCTCAACGTCCCCAGAACGAAGGAGCAGGGGCTGGGAGCTGACTCCCTCCCGCGAGCCCTGGCCCAGGGCCGAAGGAAAGGTCCAGCTTGGTTGTCCAGAGTTAGCCTTTGCTGGCGAGCTGGACAGATCGCAGCGCTAAGGGGCTCTAATCCCGTGCTGGCAAAATACACCAAAGCCACGGGGGCACTGTTGGACCTTGGGAGCCCGTGCTAGCTGCCACGCGGCCCCTGAGCCTTCTCTTGCATCCTCCTCAGGCCCCATCCTGCAGCCAGAGCAGCGATGTGCTGCTTGCGGGCGCAGGAGTCTAGCCGTGGAGCCTCCCAGGATTCCAGTAAGCCGCTGTGCAGCTTTAGAGACGGGCCCGTTGTTGCTCAGCTTGGTGTGCGTGGCTGATCGGCTCTCTTGCAGGGGTCTGTGCTGCCCCTCAGCCTCTGTGGGAGGCCGACCCTGGCGCTCCTTCTCTCAGTACTATACCCTTCAAGACACCGCACCTGGCACAGTGGGGACTCCCTGGTGCTGTCTGTGCACATACAGATGGAGTTTCTTTTCAAAATGTTGGTCTTCAGCTGGCTGGCTGCAGAGCTGGAGCTCATGGGTATGAGGCCGGCCGTGTGGCTCCCACAGCATCGAAGGCCTTGCAGAGCCCCCAATTGCTGCGGACCCCAGTGCTAGGACCCCCTTAGCCACTGCAGGAGGATCTCCACAGTCCCGGGCTAGAAACTGACCCGATTTCTCTGCTGGGTTCTGCCAACATAGTGAGAGAAGCTGCTGCAGAGAACCGCTAGAATTAGGGTTTGGTTTTTAATGTTCTTCTCTGTTAATTTCAATAGTTCAAGGTTAAAAAGCCCCCTGTGGCATCGAGCGGGGCTCCAGGAAAAGGGAAGCCTGCAAGCAGTCAGCAAAAGAAAGCCGAAGTCACGGCCGGTGTCAAGCGGACAGCTTCAAGTAAGTGTGAGGCCTTCCTGCCCAGCGGGGAGTCGGTGCAGCAGTGGGGGGCTCTGTGCTGGACCAGAGAGAGGAGAGGGTTTTAATGCCGCCCTTGGACTCTGTGTGCAGGGAAAGCCTGCACTGGGTTTAAAATGGACACAAATAGAAGCTATGTGCAAGTCCAGCCTGCAGAGCCCCTGTGACTGGCCTGGAGTTTGGGCAGGGGACAGTTGGTGTCCTGCCCCACCCCGGGCAAGCCCCGGGAGCACCTCAGCTCAGGTGCTGGTGCCGTCACCTGCCAGCTGGCTCCAGGGATGCTGTGGTGATGCTGTGAGGTGACCGGCAGTGCACCATGCCTCGAGGCCCCGGCTGTGCGTGGGAGCCCACAGGAAGGTTACTCCTGGGGTGTGTTGCTGCCTACATCCAGGAATCTTCTGGTGCTTCATGGTCCCCCTGCATGGTGGTGTCCTCTCCCTCAGTGTGGAGATGAGAGCAGCTCCTCCCTCCAGGAAGGAACAGAGCTGGGGAGCCCGCCAGTAGGGACTGGGAAGGGGGCCGTGGGGCGAGCGTGAGCCGCCCGGTTGGCCTGGGTACCTGAGGCCCTTCTTGCTGGGAGGACACAGTAAGCCACATCTGGGCCCACTCAGCCCTTGCCATGTTTCCTGTAGCCAGGCCCAGCTGACAGCTGTCACTCTGGAGCTGCGGGTCCCAGCAGTCACCTGCAGGTCAGCAAGCAGGGACTTCCATACTGGTTCCAGAGCATCCAGGCCTGGCCGGGACAAAGGGAGACCGTTAGATGCCAATGCTGAGCTGGCCATGACAACCGTTGTTGCCCTCCTGGGAGTCACCCCTGACTGGGGTAACAACGGCAAGACTGTGTTAGCACGGAGCTACCTCCACTTCACAATGCTTCCCCAGGGCAAGCAGAGGAGGTGGCTTCTGTGCCTACACTCACTTGCCATCCGCCACCTGGTAGCTTACCTGGCAGCAAGTGCACAGTGGGAGCCGGGGGGGCTGTCTTAGGCTACAGCTCTGGTGCCTGTGCCCCTGTGTCCTCTCCTCACTGTGAGCTTGGCTGCCCCTGACTCCTCAGACCCACGTGGCAAGGCTGTGGGCTGGGAGCCAGGACAGCCTGTGCTCGGGGCCAGGTTCCACAGGGGCAGCACCAGGACAGGGGCTCACAGTCTCAGGAGCCAGGTCCGTGTGCTGGGAAGCGTGGCACCTGGTCGGTCTCTGCATCTATGCTTATTTTACCTCACACATGACTTATTCCTCCATTCCATCAGACTGGGGGCCTTGTATTAACTTGGTGACCTCTAATGGATTCAGGCAGCTGCATCAGGCAGCACGGAGGCCGAGTTGAGGCAGAGTTTCTAGGTGATGGTGTGCAGGCATGTTGGCGTGGGGATGAGTGACCCTTCTGCACAACACGCGTCCCGTCTCCTGGACAGTGGCACTGTGCTCTCAAGCCCTTGCGCATTTCCCCAGGCCGCCGGAGCAGTGGCTTTGGGCTTTTGGCTGAAGGGCAGGTGGACAGGGCAGGGGTAACCTTGTCATTTCTCTGCTAGCCAGTTGTTGCCCTTGGTTCTAGGTGCCGACCAGTACAAATACGGGAAGAATCGCGTGGAGGCCGACGCCAAACGGCTCCAGGGCAAGGAGGAGGAGCTGCTGCGCAGGAAGGAGGCCCTGCGCAACAGGCTGGCCCAGCTGCGGAAAGAGAGGCGGGACCTGCGGGCTGCCATCGAGGCCAACACTGGTAGGAGAAGTGGCCACCACTGGCCAGGCTCCCAGGCGTGGCGTGAGGTAGACCACCCCCAGGTCCACTTTGGCAGCCACGTGTCAGTGCAGGCAGCACTTCTTGGGGTTCAGAGGCATTGCTGGCAGGCCCAGGGCATAGGCTGGCATGGTTGAATGGTACAGCTGGTGGGCAGAGGCAAGCCTGGTCCCACACAGCTCCGGGCAAGAGAGATGCTCTCCATGGCAGATTTGTACTGCACACGGCCGTCCAGGGCTCGGGAGATGCGGGAGTCCCTGTGGGAGGGCTGTGCCTGGGGAGAGGAGTGGGGGTGGCGGGGGTCCAGGGTTTTTGCAGGGGTAGAGGTGCTGCTGAGAGCAGGGCAGTGCCTGAGGCTTAGAGTGAGAGTGGGAGGCCAGAGGCCAGGAGGTGGGACGCAGATCCCCGGAGCGGCCCGAGGAGCGCAGAACGCAGGCACGGTGAGCACCAGCACCCCCCGGCCCTGGCCCTGGCCTGGCGTGTGGGAACCAGAAATGGAGGACCTGACTTGGGGTGGATGCGACCACGTGCATTTGTCCTGCCTGATGATGGGGGCCAGCTGAAAGTCAAGGGCATGGCAGGTGCAGAGGGTGTGTGCCTTCAGGCGGCAGCTGATGCATGTGTCTGCTGAACCGGCAGTGGGAAGCTGGGGTGACCAAGTGGTTACTGCTGGAGCTGAACCCAGAGGAGCACGCTGGGGCTGGCAGGTCAGGATGGCTATGGTCTGACAGGCTGTGACATCAGACTGCCTCAGCTTGTGGGGGCAGAGTCAGAACCACGTGGAGCAACTGGTCTGCGGGCAGAGGAGGTCTCCTCTGTGGTTGAGGGCGGAGCCGAAGAAGGACCACGGAGCTTTGGGCCCTGTGCACTGGCCCTCACCTCACATGGTGTGCTCACCTGCCCGCTGTGCACAGCACAGAGCAGGCGTGGCCTGGAGAAGTGTGGTGACCTGTGCAACGTAGGCTCAGTTGCCTCTGATCCCAGGGGCGGTGAAGTGACTGAGGAGCAACTGCCAGGGCAGTCAGAATTGAGGATCTGTGATGCCCTCAGAAGTCGTAGTTCAAGTTTAGGAACACCTTGAGTCTGTGAGGTCGTGACCCTGTGTCCTACCTGTGTCGGCTCAGGCTCAGGGAAGCGGGTAGAGACGGACTCTGGACCTGTGAGGGCCGCCACGGCAGCTGTGGGAAGGCACTTCCGGGCACCCAGCCCACAGGGCTTTAGGCCCCTGGGGAGGCACGAGTGCTCTGAGGGCCAGGGAGGCAGCGGCTTGTCTCCACACCTCAGGCAGGAAGACGCAGGTGGTCCTGGAGGAGAAGCTGAAGAAGCTGGAGGAGGAGTGCAAGCAGAAGGAGGCGGAGCGCGTGGAGCTGGAGCTGGAGCTGACTGAGCTCAAGGAGAGCCTGCGGAAGGCCCTGGCTGGCGGTGTCACACTCGGCCTGGCCATCGAGCCCCGGTCGGGGACGTCCAGCCCGCAGGTAGGCGTCCTGTGCGCCGGCCCAGACCCTGTGGCCCCGGGTGAGACGGGGGAGCATGCCGTGGCTTCCTTAGGGTGCTCACCTCATGCTCCAGCCACAGCTTCCCGTCAGCTGTGCCAGCCGGCTGCTGGCCCTTCTTGCTTTTTTACTGACATCTTGAGGTTCAGGGAACCACCAAGGCCTTCCTGGCTGCTCCTGGAATCTGCTGCCAGAGCACGCTCTTCTGCCCTTGAGTCCTGATTGGCTGCCAGCTGGTCCCACGCAACATTCAGTTCCAGGCAACAAATCTGTGTACAGGTGGCCAGTGCTGAGGGACCGAGAGTGAAGGAGGCACGTGTCCCCTGTGACCGGGTCACCCTGTTGCTTTGTCCTGCACAGGGCCGTGGACCCGTGCTCGCTCCAGAGCCAGGCAATGCTGTTTCCATCTTACAGATGAGACACCGCAGACCGTGCGCCCTGCTTGCGCCCCAGGTGCTCCTCCTTCAGCTCCTGTGCACACCGCCGGGGGATGCCAGCCTGGGCGGTCCTATCAGTAACACATGCACACGCAGTGTGTACCCATGTGCACACACACACACATACATATACAGTATCCATATGTACACATGTAACATGCACACTCACACACATACACATACAGTATCCATGTGTACGCATGTAACATGCACACTCACACACATACACACGCCCAGCTCCAGCGCTTGGCTGGGCACTCAGACAAGGTTGACAGGTTTCCGTGACGCCCCCACCTCACCACTGTCCCACCACACTGCCCCCATCACTTTGTTCTCCCCACAAGCCCTAGTTTCTGTCACGCCGCAGCAACCAGCGCCCTCGCATCAGAAGACAGCAGCACCCTGGCAGCCTTGCGCCCTGGCCCGGGGCCACTGCACAGTGGGGCCTCAGGAGGGCAACCCTGGTGTGGGCCGGGTCCCGTGCTTCCATGTCCTGCGTGGACTTGACACGCCCACAGCTGTGCGGTCCGCTGGGTCAGTAATGAACATACGTAGTGCTCATTCGCCCCCGAGTAGACTCATGGCTACCTGCCTGTTAGTGCCACTTAGAGCTCACATCACTATTGTGCCACGCCCAGTCCTAGGAACCCTTCTGCATGCCACCCCTGTGCACCCAGGGAGGGTACTGCCTGCCTAAGGAGCAGACGGCACACCCGTGTGTCACACGTCAGTGGGCAGGGGTGGGATGCAGCAGGAATGAGCATCCTGGTAGAGCTGCAATGTGGGGACCCTGGCTCCCAGGTTGGGACGACAGGCCCGAATGCCGAGAGCAGTGCAGGGGATGTGTTGCTCCATGCTGAACCTTCCAGAAACTGTGTCGGCCAGGGTCTGCGCTTCTGCAGAGCTGAGCCTGGGTCCACATGCTTGTGCCCAGTCCCCAGGGACAGTGATCCCTGGGGCAGCTCCCAGGAAACTGGTCTGGCATGGTGGATACAGTGGGACAGAGTGGGGAGAAGACGTGGACCTGAGTCCCACCCCCTCAGCTCTACACCCGGGTGGCCAGGCTGGGACAGCTGTGGGCTCCCAGGTCCCTGGTGTGAGGTGGGCCTCATGGACTCACTGGGCCAGCCCCATTCCTCGGATCGTCCTGTTTTTTAGACAGTTTGGGGCTGGAGGGCACACATGGCCTCCCAGGCTCACACAGCTCCCATCTGTCTCCCGCTGCAGTCTCCAGTGTTGCGGTCCCGGACGCTGGAAAACTCACCCATCTCCAGCTGCGACACGAGTGATGCCGAGGGCCCCCTGCCCGTCAACAGCGCAGCCGTCCTGAAGAAGAGCCAGCCGGCCGCAGGCAGCTCCCCCTGCCGTGGGCACGTGCTACGCAAGGCCAAGGTGAGTCTCGTACAAGGGCACCTGGAGCTTGCACACAAGGAGGGGCACATGGTCTCTGCACCACTACCATGCTGTATTGCAATGGGACAAGTGGCCAACCCCCCAGCCCTCACTGCTCATGTGCCATGTGCCCCCCGTTAGGAGCGGGGAAGCCTACATCTGCCTTAGGGGCTCCAGTTAGTGTCTGGAACAGGCAGGCCACACACATAGCATCTTCTGGAGTTGAAGCAGGCCAGCTGACCCCTGCTCAAGGCTTCATTAGGGTGCTAGGATTCCTTCTGAAAGAGAAGTCAGTTTTCCTGTGGCCCTGGCTCCATCCCTGTGGCCTTAGCATGTACCTCGGCATGCAGTGTGGCTCTGCCGACCTTCCACGCTCTCTCCCAGTCTTGTCCTGAGATTGGGCACCCAGCAGGTGGCTCTGGATCCGGTCTCGGGTGCTGCCTCTCACCATGGCCCCTGGGCACCCAGCAGGCAGCTGGCCCAGGGCCAGGAGGCAGAGTTGGTCTCGCCAGCAGGTAAACAGGAAGTTACAGGGATAGGCTGATGCCCTCGCTGCGATGATGTCATTGCTACTGGCCTATCACGTAGTGCCAAGTGGACCCATGGGGAGAACTGATTGGTGGAGAACAGTACAAATACCGTAGTAAAAGCTGGAACGGACCACAACCATGACCACGAGAAAGACGGAGAAAGACGGGACGGGGGAAGAAGGGTGGCGGAGAGAGGAATGGAAAAGCGGTAGAGAAGTAGTAAGACCTAAGTTTGGGGACAAGAACAGAGAAATGCAACAGGAATGGGGACAAAACCCCCAAGAGTGTGCCTCATCTTTTCAGTGTCGCTGCTGGGTGGCAACAAAGTGGAGCAGCTAGGACACAAACCAGTGCCCAGTGTGGAATGCTGGTGTCACTGCTGGTGGCTTTACCTGCTGTGCCACAGTGCCAACCTGAGCATACACACACACACACATTTTAATGCTTTTTTGTGGTAAAATGAAGGTGGCAGGAACCCGGCCTGGTAGCTGTTCTGGGCTGTGCAGTCCAGAGGAATGAGCATCTCCGTTACTGCACAGCATCCTGCCACCCGTCTGGATAACTGGGTAACTGCCAGGGCCCTCACGCAGGTGTGTGTCCTGGGGAGAGTGCGCGGCCTGAGGGCTCACCCTGGGGCAGCATGCCTGGGCTCCCCCACCTCTGGCCAGGAGGCTATTTGGGGCACGGGCCACTTTCTGTTGACCTGGCTGCCTGTCCCTGGCCGCTGGGCATGGGGGACACAGATAAGTCACACTGGGTCCCTGCTTCCAGCCTCTGCTGTGTGCCAGGAGTGGGTCTGCTATACCAGGCCTGTCGGAGCGTGTGGCTGGTATGGCCTAGGCCCTGTGTACCCTCGCACATTTCCCTTCTCTCTAGGAATGGGAACTGAAGAACGGGACCTAAGCGGAGGCCAGCCCTCATGGGCCCCAGGCAGAGCCTGGCCACCCGGCCCCTCGTCCGCACCGCTGCGGGAAACTGCACCAGCATGACCTACGGCAGGACACACGAACAGCCATGTGACTGCGTCCTGATGCCAACTGCTGGGCCCTGGCCCACACGGACTCTCGCTCCTGTGTGATGGTGCCCTTTAAAAAGTTTACTGATAAGACTTTGGTCTCCAGCTCTATTTGTGAGAGAAAAAGTACATATATACAAAAAAAGGTGAAATGGAAAAGGAGCCCTATGGCCGGCAGCCCGCTGCCTTGGCAGCCAGTTGACTTGCTCTCCTACCAAGCCCAGCCCGGGGCCGGCCCGAGAGGGCGGCTTCATGAGCGCGGACAGAAGCCGGGATCAGCCCTGGCAGAGCAGGGCCTGGCTGCCCCCGCAGCCGCCATGGCTGTGAGCGGTCAGGGCCCACCATGCAGCCTGGGCCTCCTGCCGGGCCCTGAGCCACGTGCCTGTGGCCTGCAGGAAGGCCAGGAAGGTGCTGTGGATGCTAAGCTGCCTTCCCCCGCTTTTCCTTTCCAACAAATGCTTTATCTTCAGGATGTGAGAAGCTGCCATTCTGTTGTAACCTACTTGAAGCTTTCTTGTCTGTCCTCTGTGAGCCCTCCACACTGCCTGCTGCTTCCACAGGGCAGCAGAGCGCCCTCCCCAGCCCTCCTCAGCCCTCCCCGGGTGCTGCAGATGAGCGCTCTCCAGCTCCTGGCCGGGGTGGAGCCTCTGAGAGCCCCTCTCCCCACCCTAGCCTAATGCTGACCACCCACTGACCGAGCAGAGAGGGGCAGAGGGCAGCCTCAGGCTCTGTCCTGTTGCCCACCTTCTGTGCCATGCCTCTTGGAGAGCCCAGCCGCTTGAGCAGGAATAGGAAACTTCTGAGGGCAGGGCTGGCTTCTGCCCCTCCCGCGTCAGGCGCCAGGGGGACCCTCAGGGTCTCGCAGTCCTGGCGAGGGACGGGGTCGGAGTTGGCCGCTGCTGGAAGCCCCTGCAGACTGGGGGCCAGTCCCAGTGTGGGCAGTGGGCTCTGCTCAAAACGTGCAGCTGTTACCCGTGCTGTAAGCACACTGCCACCACCCAGCACGTGCTTAGCACTGGTGGGACGCTCGGTGCTCCTGCGTGCCTTCCAGCCATGGCAACAGGCACAGGCAGGGCAGAGGCGCTGTGCCCGGACGGGAGCTGCCATGGAGACCTCAGCCCGTGGCTACGGGAGTCCCGGCAGGGAACCCAGCTCAGTGGGCAGGCAGACGCCTTCCTTGGCACTTGTACATCACTTGAAGGCACAGGGCAGCCACGTTCTGGAAAGAAAAGACAGCTGGAGCCGCTGTGGACCCTGCCACCTGTGTCCAGGCCATTCTGATGGACAGGCTGCTTTACCCATGAGCCCATGCCAGCTTTCAGCCGCATCTGAAGGATGCAAGGGAAAGGGGCTAGCCTGAACTCAGCCTCAGCCCTGCTCAGTGGGCACCGCTGAGCTGGTGGGCAGAGTGCCAGTGGCACCTCAGGTGCCCCATGACTGCAGCATGCCACTTGGTATGTGTGAGGCCCTGGACTGTAGCTCCTTTTCCAGCCTGAGCCTTAGTGAGGGGACAGCTGACAGATCCGTGCTCCACGCCACAGGCCTTGACAGGCGGGCACGTGCGCACTGTGCCGCACCCTAGGGCCACCCCCGCACATGCTTAGATTGGGTCAGAGCCTCACCCCAATGCTTGCTTAAGTTATTTATTTGTACATGTTGAGTAAATACTTTCTAATTTATGTCTGTACAGTTAGCCTCACAGAACCGCCTTGTTGTTCTCTCCCTCCCGAATCCTGCCCACCCAGGGAGAGGGACCCCAGGCTCGAGGGCTCCATGAGGGCACAGGGCCTGGCCACTGCTAACAGCATGCTGACCTGGCACGAGGAAGCAGGCAGCTAGTGCTAACGTGGTCTCTGAGGCCAAAGTCACCCCCCAGACCTCAGCCTAGGCGCAGGCATGGCCCTTGCCCCTCTGCCCACAGCAGACGGGCGCTCAGCTCTGGCTACACCAGGAAGCCCATAGTCCTACTGCAAGGTAACTGCTATTGGTCTGCCAGGCATGCCAGGAGTCAGAGCTGGGCCACGCAGATGAACAAGGCCTGGCCACACAGGCTGCCCAGGGACCACTGTCCAATCAAACCTGTGACCTGTCCTGCCCCCGCCCCGGGGTGTACCCCGTGGTGGTGCCCAGAACCACCTGCCCCCCTCTTGTCGCCATGTTCTAGCTGGTTCCACATAAGCAGACCTGTCCAGCAGGCTGCCAATGCCCCAGATGTTGCCTGGGCACTGAGGGCCACTGCAGGGCAGAGCTGTGGCTCTGCTAGAATGTCCCTGCAGGCCCCACGCATGGGGCTTGTGGGCTGAGCACACCCTCGTGGTTATGGTCCCTGCTTTCTCAGAGACGGTGTCTACTCTGGTCACCCCCCTCTGGGGGGCGGGGGAGCCCACCCAGGCCTGGGCGTGGCCTGACTCCACGCGGCTGGTGCACACAGCTGCCCCATCTCCAGCCAGCATACATAGGTGCCAGCCACACTCCGGGATGCAGTGTTGCCTTCCTGTTTGTGTGTATTTTCCTGAATTCATACAGAACCGTCATTTCGGATTTATGTTCCAAAGAGGGTACTTCAGTTTTGGGGTCCTGTTACTCCTCGTGCTTGCCCCCACCACTGGCGGGGTTCATACTGTGAAATGAGCTGAATTTGCTACGCCCAGCTCAGCCCCGGAGGCATGCGGGCTGAGGCAGTGGGGCTCCCATGCCCGTGTGGGGAGGGCTGGGAGAGAGGGTGCAGGCCGCGCCTTAGGGACTGAAGGCGACCCGAGCTACAGCAGGAAAGGTGCTGTGGCTTTTGCACCGCTAAATTACAGTTACGCAGCATTAATGACCATGGCTATGGGTTTAAGATGTTTGCATATTAAGAATGTAATTATTTCCTTATTATATTTTAGAAAAAAAACTAAAATCATATTTAAAATTCTTTGAAACAAAGAAACAGGACAGATTTTTTAATTGAATATGTTGGTAGTACCCACGTTTAATGATTGTAAATAGATTTTCACTGTGTTTCTCAATGTATTTATTCCTAAGCCAAAAATTTTATGAGAAGAACCATGCAATGAACACATGCTAGTTTTCAGTCCGTCTGCCCCATTTTGTAGTGGCCTCACTTGGAGCTCCTGCTTTTTCAACCACCTTTTCTACTGTGCTACCCGGCCGAAGCCACGGACAGGCGCCCTGCGGCGCAACCCACTGTGTATTGCTAATAAACTCGTTCTCTCCCAGCGAGGCCTGTGTGTCTGACTGACAGGGACAGGATGGGCCCCAGGCAGCTGCCCCTGCTCCCGAAGCCCGTCCCAGGGTGGAGTGCTGGTCATGCGGCAGGTGGTAGGTGGCAGGACCAGGATGATGGACAGGCCCGTGCGTGCCTTTCAGCACAGAGGTGTGCAGGTCCAGCAGGTTTAGAGGACCGTGCTGCCTCTGCACCAGCTGGGCCCCCCACATGGGTATGGAGGGTCAGTGGCTGGAGCCGTCAGTACCACCTCCGGGCTGGAGTCAGGAGCTGGGACTTGCCTTCAGGACTCCTGCGAGGGAACAGGGTTGTCTGGTGTCTTAACCTCTAGGCCAGACCATGCAGCTGTGTGCAGAGAAGGGAGCCCTGGGGCGCTCGCCTTCCCCGGCACTACCAGGGGCCAGGTGCCCTGGGAGCTTGCAGTCACCACCTCAGCCTCAAGGCTGGGACCTGAGGTCGAGGTTGAGCTGGGCCGGTCCAGGAGGCCAGGGCTGAGTCCCAAAGGCCCACGGCTCTGCAGGCCCCATCGGCATACCATCTGCTGCCCATCTCTGGTCGAGTGACCCTCAGTGGCTCTGCTTTCCTGAGAATGCTTGGGGGCCTGGGGGAGCGTGGCTGGCCTCTCACGGATAATAAATAGTGTCTAGGAAGTGTGGGGTAACCTGGGGGCTGGGCAGTCAGTGTTAAGAACCATTAATTGGCTCACTGGCTGGTAGGCAGAGCCCGGACCGAGGACTGCCCCACCCCCTAAGACCAGGCTAGCAGGTGCTCTCCCAGAGCCCGTGCCTAGGGCTCACTGCCTGCTGGCTGCCCCTCCTTCTCCTGAGACGCCACAGAGGACCTCAGAACACCCACCCTTGCTGGATTGACTTACTTTTAAAGATGTATTTATCAGAAAGACAGAGACAGGGCAGGAGAGAGCGCTTCCGTCCGCTGGGTTACTGCCCACGTGGCCATCGTGACCAGGCCGGGGACTCAGGCCTTCCTCTGCTGCTTTCCCAAGCAGGGAACAGAATGGGAAGTGGAGCAGCCTGGACTTGAACCAGTACCTATGTGGCTAACACCACAGGTGGCAGCTTTATCCTCCACACCACGGCGCTGGCCCCTCATTCTCACTTTATAAAACCCCGTGGAGAACTCAGGTGCACTCATTGTGCGAAATAACCATGCCAGATCGGGGCCAGCTGTGGGACAGGTGGCTAGGAAATTGGCAGCTAATGTCTACGACCCCTGAATTTCACAGGGGAACCCCAGCAATTCTGTGGTGCTGCTGACAGCACGTTCCTCCCAGAAAGGGCTGGATCAAACAGCAGGCGGGAAGCAGGGTTGAGGAGCTCTCAGCTTCTAGTGGGGGCACGGGGGTCCCTCCTGGGGCTGTGCACAGCTGAGCTGGCCTCTTCCTCCCGGGAGGCTCCTGGCCAGGCTGCCTCAGGCTCCCAGCAGACCTTGCTGGCTTTGGAGGTGTCCAGCATCCCAAGGCTGCCCAGTAGCACAGACCAGGCAATTCCAACTGCCCACAGCTGGGTGTCCTGAGTCAGCCCTACGACTCGGGAATGGCCTGCAGCTGAGCCTCACCTGGGGCAGCCACGAGGCCAGCTCGGCCATGGCCTGCATCTGAGCCTCACCTGGGGCAGCCACGAGGCCGGCTCGGTCATGGCCTGTAGCTGAGCCTCACCTGGGGCTGCCACGAGGCCGGCTCGGTCATGGCCTGCATCTGAGCCTCACCTGGGGCAGTCACGAGGCCAGCTCAGCCATGGCCTGTAGCTGAGCCTGCTCCACCCTCACCAGCCAGAGTGCCTCCTGTTTCTCCAGCCCTCTGGCTCCCGCTGCCCGCAAACTGTGAGTGACAAGTTGTCTTTGAAGTGACCCCTGTCTCCCCAGGGTTAGCCTCACTGCTGCTCCCAACGAGCAGTGAGCAGACACCCTGCAGCCCCCTGCCCCAGGGCCAGCCAGGCTCCCCGCGGGCCAGTGGCGGGTCAGGGTGACACATGAGGACACGGGACTTCCTTCCCTGGGGGCTGGATGTGCGGTGCTTCTGGGGAGATTTGCTGGGTCTCAGTGTGATGAGAGTGGTGGCAGGGCAGGACTGAGACTTGCACAGTGTTTCAGCCCTGACTGCCCAACAGGGAGCCGGCCTTGGGTGCCCAGATGTCAGCCTTGGCTGGGGCCCACAGGTGCAGGCTTTGGCTGCTGGTGCAGGGCCCGGAGTGTGCCCCGCTGCTGTCCACCCAAGCAGATGCCAGGCCAGGCTCCCCTGGCTTTCTCAAGCCCTCCCCCACTGCACTCCCAGGAGCACTGCACACCTGTGCGTCCTGAGTGTGCCCTGCGGGCTCGGGTATGGCCTGCAGTATGGCTTCTCTACCCACATGGTCCACACTGCGCTCATGGGAGCCCTGGGGAGAGGGGTGTACTGTGAGGGTCTTCCCGGACCAGCTTCTCAGGGCACTGGCCCTCAGCAAGGGTCACAGGGACCTCCGTCCAGCCTGTGAAGTGCCCAGGTCACCTTAGGGGCAGGAGGCGAGCCCGCCGCCAGCCTTCCTTGGTAGAATGATGCCCTGCCTCCTGCACAGCCTGTCCCTGGTCTGGGAACTGCCTGGGGAGCCCTCTGGGACCCAGGGTGCTGGGGCTGCACGTCCTGGAATTGGGTGGTGAGCTGGTGCCTGGCCGCAGCAGGCACAGATCCAGGCTCTGCCTGTGGCAGGGGAGGCATTGGAAGAGCTGGCTAGAGGACGGCCGCTCCTAAATCCAGGGCTGGCTGCTGTGTCCCAGAGTCATGTGGGGAGAGGGACCAAGAGGGTGGCTGCCCTGAAGCCCAGGGTAGAGGGTGGGTGTGCGTGTGTCGAGGCCCTGGCAGCCATCACAGTGGGGGCCTGGTGGGATCCGAGGGCATGGCCTCCCGGGGACTGACTGCGTGGAGCTGGGCACAGGGGAGCAAACTGTCAGGGCTCTCACCAATGCCCAGACCTGAGCCACGTCACTGCATGCCTGGCGGGGGGCGGGGATAGAGAGGAGTCTGTGCCCTGGGGGCCTGCTGTCCTCCGGCAGGAATGTCCTAGTATGGCAGATGACAGCAAGGGCAGGAGAGCTGTGGCATGCTGGAGACAGTGACAGAGCTATGGTGGCTGTCAGTCGTCACTATCACCTCTGGGTCTGGGCTAGGGTCCACGCTGGGCAGCGAGGCCCTGCGATCTCCAGTTGATGGGGGAGGCACTGTGCGGCCCCTCCCCCACCCCACAGAGCTCATCTGCTCCCATGGTGGGCCCCGGATGCACCCTGGTCCCATCTCCAGTTCTCCACTGCTGCCCATGGCACACTGAGACAGCCCTGATCATGTCCTCAGCAGCTGGCCACCCTCTCGGGGCTGGACACGGGTTTGCTGGTGCCCAGCACTCCTGGGCGGGTCTGACGTGCTGAGGCGGCTGCTGGCACCCCCATGACAGCACCATGAGCAGCTCTTGTGCCTGGATCTTCAGCGAAGCGGCCCCGTCGGGCTCCCTGGGCTTCCTGAACGTCGGCTCGTGTCCCCTGAGGAGTCCGTAAATATTTTCTCCCCCTTGGCCAGATGTGTTTTCAAGCTGGCAGCTTCTTTGCCAAGTCTGACGAGACCCCATTTGTGTCATTGGCTTCTCACCATCCAGACTCTTGTCCAAGCACACGCTTCCCAACGCCTTCCCCGGGACGGTCACAGCCTCCTGAGCTGTGGGCTGGGGGTAGTGGAGAGGGGAGCTGTTGCTGGGGTGGCGTGAGGGCTGCAGGTCTCTGCGTGTGGGCGTCCAGCCTCCCCCATGCCCTTTGTGGCAGGGACCGTGGCTGGCTTTGGGCTGTGCTGCCGTGTCTCACTGGGGTCGGCCAGTGCCACGCACACGGCTCTGGTTCTCAGCTCTATCCGCTACCCCAGAGCTGTATCTGCTGGCTCATTCCCTGAATGGCCACAGTGGCTGGAACTGAGCTGACCCGGAGCCAGGACCCAGGAGCTTCTCTGGGGCTCCTGCATGGGTGGAGGGGCCCAAGCACTTGGGTCATTCTCTGCTGCTTTTTCAGACACTTTAAGGAGCTAGATCTGCAAGTAGAGCAGCCAGGACTTGAACTGGTGCCATTTGGGATGCTGGCACTACAGGGAGAAGTTTAATCTGCTATGCCGTGCACTGGCCCTGACTCATGGGTATATTGTTGGAAGCTGTGCAGGACTGTCCTGTTAATTTCCTTTCACTCCATGAATACAGGAAGGCTTCCCTTTGGGGGTGTCATCTTCAATTCCTTTAATTGATGTTTTGGCATTTCTCTGCGTGGGGGCTTTCCCATCCTTGGCGATGTGTATTCCAATGTCTGACTGGTCACTATTGTGAGTACTGATGGTTTCTGTCACTGAGCTCATTGTGGGTCCATAGAGTGCTGCTGATCGGGGCTGTCATGTGGGGCCAGTTCACGTCCCGGTGCCCACTTCCTGTCCAGCCCCCTGCTGCGGCCTGGGGAAGTAGTAGAGGACGGCCCAAAGCCTTGGGACCCTGCACCCGCATGGGAGACCCAGAAGAGGCTCCCGACTCTGTCGTGGCCCACCTCAACTGCTGTGGTCATTGAGGCATGAGCCCACAGACAGAAGATCTCTTTAAATTGCTGCCATTCTGCATACTGTGCAGCGTGACTCAAAGTGTGCCAGTCCAGCCCGTTCCTTCCCAGGGCTGCCTTTCGGGTTCGGCCCACCCTCAGTCCCAGCACGAGTGCATCCCCAGCTCTGCTCACGCCGGCTGTGACCTGGAGCCTCTTGCTCCTGCTTGCTGCTCCAGCCAGAGCTTGCAGTGCCTCATGGGGCGAGGGTGGCGGGTGAGCATTCCCGCCCCAGCCCTGACTCCCTAGGATCCGCTCTCAGCACCAGCCCCTCGGAAGGGAACCGGCTGTTGAACTTATCTGGACAATAAGTTGCTAAACTCTGTGCTTGGTATATGCTTGCAATGAAGGAATCTCAACTGAACTTGAACTGTGGTTACGCAACGGGATGGAGAAATCCACCATGGGGGGAAGGCTTGGGGAGGGGTAGGGGGAAACCCAGTACCTATAAAACTGTGTCACATAATACAATGTAATTAATAATAATAATAATAAAAGGGAGCTGGCTGTGGTCATGCCACAGAGGCCTGCAATGGGTGCTGTGGCCCCTCGGTCACTGGCCTTCCAGGATTGCTGTGTGGACGAGTGCGGGGCTTCATTGAATGTGGTCCCTGAATCAGATGAGATGGTTGAGTGGGTTTTTATTTATTTATTTTTATTTGAAAGGCACAGTTATAAAAAGCGTTCTTCCATCTGCTGGTTCACTCCCCCAGTGGCCACCACAATGTCTGACACTGAGCTGATCCGAAGCCAGGAGTTCTTCCGGGTCTCCCACAAGGGTGCAGGGTCCCAAGGCTCTGGACCGCCCTCGACTGCTTTCCCAGGTCACAGGCAGGGAGCTGGATGCGAAGTGGAGCAGCCGGGATTGGAACCGGTGCCCATAGAGGATCCTGGCACATTCAAGGCAAGGACTTAAGCTGCTAGGCTACTGTGCTGGGTCTGAGTCTTATCATTTTTAAGAAAGCCTAATTTTTATTACAAACATCCTTATTTCTTTTTTTCTTATTTGAAAGAGGAGGGCAGGTGGGAGAGCGATTACCCCTGCTGGTTCATTCCCCAAATGGCCACTACGGCCATGGCTGGGCCAGGCTGAAGCCGGGAGCTTCTTCTAGGTCTCCACGTGGGCACAGGGTTCCAGAGACTTGGACCACCCTCTGTTGCTTTCCCAGGCCATCAGCAGGGAGCTGGATGCGAAGTGGAGCAGTGAGGACTGGAACCAGGACCCATACAGGATGTAGGGGCCGTGGCTCAACCCACTGCCCCCCGCGGTGCCAGCCCCTCAGTTCTTCTAACGCGTTTCCGCACCCACATGCTCTTGGGAGCACAGCTGACTGCTGTCCGTGTGCAGGACACTGCCCCCCGTCCGTCCTAAGGCAGCCCCGGGTGAAGCACTCCCCACGCCTGCCAGCCTGCTCCTCTCACGCCGCCGTTCCCACGCTCCAGGAGGGCTCAGCTCTCCATCTGCAGAGGGTCTTCCTCTATGATCCTGGCCTGGCTGGTGTAGTCCCTCTCGCTGGCTCCCAGCCGTTTCCATTGGCACTCGTGAGCCCAGGGTGCTGTGCAGGGTTCCTCACTCCAAGGGCGCCTGCCCTGTCCTGTGCACCTGCCTGGTGGCCTCTCACTGAGCTGTACACCCCTCTCCAGGGCCTGACCACAGCTAACACGAGCTCCTCTGGGTGCCCCCACCCAGGGCTGGGGCATGGCCCAGGCAGCTCTGAGCTCCCTGGGGAGGAGCAGTGGCCTCAGGACCTCCGGCCCAGAAGGGTGGTGTGGGGCTAGAGCTCTGGTGTTGGGGGTGCCCAGCAGGGCCTGGGAGGCCACGGGCGCCCAGCAAAACGCCCCCCCCCCCCCAAGATTGTGGAGGTCCCCACACAGCCTCAGCCTTTGGCAGCCGGTGGGCAGGTCAGCTCTCTCCCCAGCCATGTCGGGTCCTTCGCAGAAGCAGCGTCCCACACCCTTCTTCCCGCCTCGGTGTCCATTCTAGGGGAGCCCACGTCCACCTGCTTCCCGCCTCGGGCGCCCTTCTTGCTGGCGGACGGCCAGGAAATGGGGCTGACCCCGGTGCCCCAGGACACAGATCCATGCGCATGCGCCCTGCCTCTGCGGCCTAGTGGAGTTGGTAGGGTTGTCGCTGGCAAGGGCAGCTGTTGCCCTCGCTGCCCCCCCACCCCCTGTGGCCTGCGGTGTCGCTCAGCCTTGGCGCGCCACCCTCCTGGGTCTGTGCTGTCACCAGCAGGTCCCCGAGCTCCCCACGGGGTCTCCACAGGTGGATGGGGTGGAGGAGCCCAGGACAAGTGTGTGAGTGGATCAGCCCTCGGACAATTCCGGCCCCTTGAGACCCCCGAGTACCCGTGCAGGGAAATGTGACAAGGCGAGAGCCATTGCACCTGGTAACCTGTTAAAAGCATCACAACGGATTTATTGATCTTTAAAAAGGACAGTACGAAAGCGCCCCTCAGGTGTTAGGTGCCACGCCGGGTCTGCACGCGGCCCTGGTGCGTCGTGTCCCCGCTGGGGTTGCGTGACGCTGCGCCCCCCACCCACGCAGAAATGACATAGAACACCAGGAACCGGAGAGCTGCGGGAAGACCCTGCTGGCTGAGGACTTGCTGAGCCGAAATGGGGCCAGCCCATGACCCCGCTGCCCGTGGACGGGGCGGGGACCAGTAGGGGAGCAGTGGGAACACCCCCCTCCCAGGGGAAAGGCCACCCCAGTCCCTGTGGTCTCGGCCCCCTGCTGGCGTGGGGGCCGACAGGAGGCCGCAGCACCCTGTTTGCCTTCTTGGTGCGGGATGGCCGCTCTGCGGGGCTAGGGGGCTGCTGGCTGGGCCGCTCCTTCGCCCTGCTGGCTGCCTTCCCACGGGTCCCTCCTAGGGGAGCCCACGTCCACCTGCTGCCAAGCGTGTGGAGCTGCAGGCAGGGCTGTACCCCAGGCTCTGCAGCCTGGCCAGTGTGTGCGGGGTCCAGGGGCAGTGTTCCGCGGGAGGCCCGTGGCCTGGAAGATGAGTCTGTCCAGGGGTGACGGCAGCCTTGTTGCAGGTCCCGCCGGCCGTCTTGTGGGGGGCTGGCTGGTGGCGGGGCTTGGAAGGCACCCTCAACTCACCAGGTAGCTGCGCCGCTCGTGGGGGTTGATGCTCAGGACCACCCCTGAGTGGCTGCCTAGGAAACGGAGACATGGCCTGAGTCCAGCCCAGCCACTGGGGCCAGCGGAGTGGTGGGCTGTGCGCTGTGCATGGGCATCGGCGGTGGGCTCAGGCGGTGCCGGGGGTGGGTGGAGGTGGTGCTGGGGGGCTCCAGGTGTCCCAGGTGGATGCCACAGTGTGCGGAACAGAGCAGCCAACCGAGGTGAGGCTGCACCCACTGACCTTCGTGGGGACTGCCCCCTGGCAGTGGCAGTAGGGGGATGCGCGAGGGACTGAGGCCAGGCCCCCTTCTGGCGCTGGGCACTGCAGGGCATGACATGGGTGGGGGAGCAGGAGAGAGGAAGTGTGGGGCTGGTTACACATCAGGGAAATGGGCCGAGGGACCCACGCCCCGCTGCTCTGTCTTGGATGCAAGAAGCAGGACCCCGATGGCCTGAGAGGCCTGGCCGAGGCTCCTGTGGTGGCACCCCTGGCGGCCAGCCCGAGAGCATCCCTGGGGTGTGGGCCAACAGCATTGCCTCTCTCCCAGTCTAGGGGCCTCCGGTGGGCCTGGTGGGTCAGGTGCAGGCTGAGCTGACCGTCTTAACGTGGTGGTGGTGGGGCCCTAGCTCTCAGCTTCCTCATCTGTGAAATGGACACAAGTGGGCATGGCCTGCCTTGCCCCAGGTTCCCTGTGAAGCACCCGCAGCCTGGGCACAAGAGGGCCCAGGGACAGGGCTGGGGGACCTCCCAGAGCCACTAATGCCTGTGACACAGCAGGCAGGAGCCATCAGGAGCACCCAGGACATGGTGCCGTCTCCATGCTTAGACCAACTCTCCATGGCCAGTGGGCAACACAGAACCTGCGCGAGGGCCCCAGTGGAGGCCTGCCTGCCTGTCTGCCTGGGAGGTGCTTGGTCTCCAGCTGCCCAGGCCAGGAGCCTCTCTCCCTGGCTGGGCCTTCCTGTGGCCCCGACAGTCGGGGTAGGTAGCTCTGAGGCTGGGTTAGAAGCCAGCACGGCTTCTGTCTCGCTGGCTGTGTCTCCATCCACCTGTGCCTCAGGCCCAGGTGTCTGGCAGTGAGCACTGCCTGGGGCCGGGTGCTGTCAGCCAGCGCTCACCCTGGCCAGCGCCGTGGACGTCCTCGCCGTGGCTCACGGGGCTCGTCATCTCCTGTTCCTTCTCGTTGTGCATCTGGGCGTACACGGTCCGGCCCGGCCGTTTCCTGGGGGCAAGTGGGGGCTGCTGGACTTGGGGGCTGCTGGGCTGGGGGGCTGCTGGGCCTGGGGAGGACCCTGCCCCGTGTAGGCTCGGCACAGCCTCTCCCTACCTCCTTCTCCCTGAGCCCTCTTCACCTGTCCCGGGGCTGTACCCTCCAGCCCTGGCCAGCCATCATGCCAATCCAAGGCATGAGAGAAGGGGCTGCAGCCGGGGGCCCAGCTGTGCACACCCACTGTACAGGCAGGAGGCAGGGGAGACACAGCACCCCCTGCTAGCTAAGGGTATGCTAGAGTCCCCCATGGGTTTGGGGAAAATGCAAGGCGGAGGGACCCCCACGTGTCACACAGTGTGAGGGTGTGGGGGTTTGATTAGACATGGTGTGTCCATGGGAGGCCCGCTCATTCCCTAGGATCCCAGGGCAGCCTTGCCTTTTGAACTTGTAGAGGACGAAGGCAGCCGCCGCAAACAGCCCAGCCACGAACAGAACCACGGCGGCCCAGTAGCCACCGCCGCCACCCAGCCTCTGTGCACCTGCAAGTGAGCAGCCGTGAGGGGGCCGGGACAGGCAGAACCGCATGGCCCGGCTCGGCCAGTGGTGCCTCCGGAGAGCAAGGGAGGCCTGTGCTACTGGCCTGTGTGCACTGGGATGGGGTATGAGGGTACCACACCGATGCACCAGGCCTGGAGGCACGCTGCCACCCCCTCACCTGCGTCCGTGTCCCTCAGGGCCACAAGGATGCGCAGCCCGGCACGCAGCAGGAAGCTGATCTTCTGAGCCGCCACCACCTGCTGCAGGGCAGCCAGGCGCTGAAAGCAAAGGGGGAGCTGAAGGCTGTGGGCGGGGCTGAAGGGGTGTGGGCGGGGCCAGTGGGTAGGACTAAGGGTGTGGGCGAGGCCCAGGGGCTGGTCAGCAGGACTAGGGGTTGTGGGTAGGGTTAGGTGACTGGGCGGTGTCCTGAATGGCCAGGCTAGTTTCCCTGTGCGATGTGGGGTGAGCCCAGCCCTGGCAGGCACCATGGACACTACTGGGATACAGGGGGTCATGGAGGTTTCCTTGGAGGTGGGAGCCATGGACACCCCTGTGCCCCTTTATTCCCTGGTCAGCAGGCAACCCCAGCCTCCCCCACATGTTGTAGCTGCATGCGGGGCCCACATGGATGAGACAGCCATTTCTCAAGTACACCCCTGACCACACAACTGCTGGCTCCTGTGGTCACTGAGCAAGACTCTGGCCCAGGGGTGCCAGGACACCTGGGGTCGTTGTGTGGCCAGCCCCCTCCTGGGGGCTGATGTCCTACTGGCCTTCTGCCATCCACCAGGCCAGTGCTGGCTCCCCGTCCCAGGAGCGCTTGCAGTCATGCTGGGCCATGTGACCAGCTCCAACCCAGGTCCTGGGGGAAGTGCTTGCTCTGCCCCCCCTGCCGAGAGCCCGCAGCTGGGCCAGGCCGCACCTTGTCCCCAGTAAGGCTTCTCTTCCTCGTGGGCCGGGCCGGGGGCAGAAGCACGTAGAGGTCGGCCAGGGTGGGCAGCCCCGGCTTCACCACTGCCACCAGCAGCTCCTGGGGGATACCCGTCTCCTGGGCAGGGGGTACACAAGCCCCTTCAGGATGCAGGCTCACCCCCTGACCCTGCAGGTATGGGGCAGCAGCAGACCCAGGCCCGCCCGCCCGCCTCATCCCTCTGTCTCCCACGCCTGGCTGGAGGAGAAACCCAGGGACACAGCTGAGCTGGAAGCGGGTCCTGGAGGAGGTGTGCAGGGAGGGTAGCTCAGCCTCGCCCACCCCCACTGGTCTGGGCACAGTGCCAGTGGCCCAGATGGGCACCTTAGCCAGCAGCCGGGCGACCACCAGGCCAATGTCCTCCCTCCACTCAGGTGTGTTGGGGTTGTAGGCATCCAGGTCCTTGGAAAACTGCAGGGGCACGCGCTGGAACTGGTCTGAGACGGCAGAGACGAGGCAGGGGTGAGGGGTGCTCGGGGCGCCTCGGGTTGTGCTGGTCTGGCTCCAGCAGGGGGTAGCCCTGGGCCCTTCACTGAAACCACCTGGTGGGGCTGGCCACGATGCCAAGGGAGGGGAGGCTGGGGGGAGTGCTGCCAGCTCCTAGCACCCTTCCTGCAGTGGGCCTCCTGTGACAGCTCCCCACCCCAGCAGAGCCCGGGCATCCACTCTGCCCCCTGGGCGCCCTAGTAGGGAATGCAGCCACCCCAGTGGGCCAGGTGGCCATTCTGGTTGGGAAAGGGTCTTCTTAAGGGTTCCACTACCAATGGCTGGGATCCCTAGGGGGTGATGGGGGCAGGCAGTGTGGCCAGCTAAGCCCTGCCTCCCGAGGGGGCACAGGGAGGCAGGTGGGCACTGACAGTGAGGGCTCACCCAGCAGTGGCCTTGTCCCTTGGGTGCTGGTCCCCCCGCCCCTGAGTGCCTGGCCCTGGGTGGGGGGCTCACCCAGCACGCGGATGACCCTGGAAGCCTGTAGCACGGAGCCCCCGCAGGCAGCTTGCACCGTCACACGCACGTCCCCAGGGGCTGCGAACTGGGTGGTCACCGAGTTGTCCAGGGAGAGGAGGGGCTGCGGGGACACGAGTGGGGTCAGGATCTGCTCTGGGGCGCCCTCGGGAGGCCAGGGCCCCAAGCTGGCACGGAATCAGTCAGTGGCCGGCCCGCCCGGGCAGGCAGGGCGACAGTGCGGGACAAGAACTGCCTCCGGTGCCTGTGGCCGGCCCACCTCTGGCCTCCTGACTCCCCACATTCCTAACTGCCAGCATGTGCTTGTCTTGTGGGGGACACAGGCAGGGTTGCCAGGGGCTGCACCTGCAGGCTGTGGCCAATCCACCAGTAGAAGACGGTGAGGTTGGGGTTCAGGGGCAGCAGCACGGCCGTCAGGGTCACCTCCTCATGGACGCCAATCGCGGGGACCACCTCGAGGGAGAGGGCCTGCAGGGGGGCTGAGGTGCGACCTAGGTCAGGCAGTGGGACTTGGCGGCTCAGGGCTGCCCGGTGCCTGCCGTGGCCGCTGCTCCGTCCTCTGGGGCCCTGTCCCCTCCCGCACCGCCACGCCCCGTGGTGACTCACTGGTGACCTGCACAAACAGCACGGCCTCATCCTGCCCAGCTGAGTTCTCGGCCCTGACGGACACGCGGTAGATCCCCGGGCTCTCGTAGCGGTGCCGGACGGGCTCCCCAGTCAGCGTCAGATTCACGTACATGGCCTTGAAGCCGTCGCCCAGATCCACCTGGTACTTGGTGGTGAGGGCGTCGCCCTGAGGGACACCGGGGGGCAGTAAGGAGCAGCCCTCCTGGCGTCCCATTCGGGTGTGGGGACATTAGGGGTGAGGGAACGGCAGGGCCAAGGCTGGGGGTCCCCCCAACCCCAGAGGTGGGATCCATGGTGTGCGGCCTGAGCCAGGCAGGGGACGTCGGCTCTTCGGCAGCTCACTACACATCTGGGAACCCTGAACCTCTGTGCTTCACCCACATGCCATGTGGCCATGGACCCAGCCGGATACCCCGCAAAAGGCCCTGCCCCTGGCCAGGGATCACACCTCCCTCACATTCCCCATTGTAGCTTCTCCCTCCCCAGCCCCAACCTCAGGAAACTGCCCCTAGGGACAAGGTGGGCGGCCACTTCCTTCAGGCAACTCCACACAGAAGGGCCCACCGTCCCCCTTGTGGCATGCTCCCCTAAGGCACAGCCAGCTTCCCGCACCCACACTGCCTTGCCCCGAGGAGCCCCACCCCCGCCCCTGCAGGCTGTCAGGGTGCGAGCAGCCCCTCCTCCCGCACAGCCAGGGCAGCGGGACCCTGCCTGAGTGCCCGCCCTGGCTGGGGGTGCTGAGGTCCCAGTGTCACCACGGGGGAGAGGGCAGCCCACGTTTGCTCCCCACACAGTAATAGTGATTTCCAGGCGTGAGAACATGTGTGCCTCGCTTGGCCAGAGAGCAGAGGTGGAAGAATCCCACACCCCCCCTCGGACCTTGTGTTTTTATGTAATTTCCCAGAGTCATTTCTGAACTCACAAGGAAACAACCTGTTTTAAAAGTAAAACCAACGGGCAGTATTGTGGCATAGACGGTGAAGCTGCCACCTGTGGCACAGCTCGTGTCCTGGCTGCTCCACTTCCCACCCAGCTCCCCGCCTGTGGCCTGGGAGAGCAGCGGAGGACGGCCCAGGAGTTAAAGCCCCTGCACCCACATGGGAGACCCTGCCGAAGCCCCTGGCTGTGGCCTGGCCCCGGCTGCCGCCGCCATCTGGGGAGTGAGCCTGCAGGCGCAGGATCTGTCACTCTCCATCTTTCAAATCCATCGTTAAAAAGAATTGAAATGGGGGTGCGCACCGTGTGTGGGCGGGTGCACCTGTTACAATTCACATCCCTCCACTCACCTGCTCCTGCTGAACCACGAAGAACACGTCCACCCCCGGCCGCACAGCCACGGCCTCGCCACGCAGGCTCACCTGCAGGCCCCGGGGCGGCGTGAGCGGGCATTGCAGCTGTACAGGGCTCTGCTGCAGGTCCACGCCACCCTCACACATGTTGGACACCACCTTCCGGTACCTAGGGCGGTGGAGGGCAGGGTCTGTCACTCGGGTCTGGGAGGGCAGGGACCCCCCGTGGCCTGCGGGGGTACAGACACAGCACCTAGCAGCACTACCTCCCTGCCTCCATGCTAAGCTCTCCCTCCATGGCTCCACCCCGAATGCACCCCAGGGCACTCACAGAGACCCTCCTGAACCCAGTGCTTAGTGCTCCCTTCTCGGTGAGCGACGCCCACAGCACTCACGAGCCCTGTGTCCTGGCACAGGCCCTGTCAGTGACGCTGAGAGGGGCCCCTGCTGGGCAGGCTGCCACGGCTGCTGGAGGCCAGGAGAGGTGATGGATGGGCAGTTGGTGTGTGTGTGTAAATGAGGACGGAGGGATGAAGGGTGCACACGGGATGGCGGTGCAGAGACAGGCGAGTGAGAAGGTGAGCAGCCGGCTAGAAGCCAAGGAGTGAGGAGGAAGCCCCCGGACGGCAGGGACAGCGGGCGGCACGCGGGCCTGACTGCAGCTATAGGGTGGAGTGGACAGGGGGCAGGTGCAGCTGTGCCGGCAGCCGGCAGCACCCACTCCTGTCCCTGTTCGCTCGGGCACTTCCTCCTGCCCACGGCCCTCCTGGAGGTGGGGTAGGAGGCCTGGTGTGTGGCTGGATACCAGCCCTGCAGGATCGGGGAATCTGCCCGGGTTCACCTGGAGGGTCGGTCAGGTCCCAGGGAGAGCAATGCTCCCGCTCACACACGCAAACACCCAGGGGACCCCTACGCTTCTTAAGGGAGTGCTGGCACCAAAGGCAGGACCTGGCCTAGGAGACCAGCAGTACGAGGCTGGACAGTTCCCTGGGGGACCTTTGCTGCTTCTGTCCAGAGCCAGCCTGATGCCAGCCTCTGGGGTTTAGATGGGGAAGGCTATGGGCACCATGAACCAGGGCACCAAGCTCCTAAGTGCCCTGCCAGCATGCCCCGGCCTGGATGTCTTTCTGTCGGCCAGGCCCTGCCCGGGCCATACTCACCCTAGGCTGCTAGTGTAGGTCTGACCCAGGGTACAGTCCTCGGGTGGGGACAAGGGGTTGAACCAGAAGTTGGCAGAGCACCTGCTGGCGTTGGGCTGTGTGGAGGGCACGCGGGCAAACCCGTAATCACTGTGGGGGACATGAACAAAAGGTGGGGCTGGGAGGAAGCTCCCCAAAATGGGGGACGGTTAGGGACAGGACCCACTGGCAGAGGGTGAGGCTACGAGAGCCACACTGGGCAGCGGGCAGCCATGAGTGGCTACTGTGCAGAGTGAGGGTGGCCAGGTGCGTTGAGGGGATGCAGGAGCCACCCCCTTGGGCAGTGCCAGCTCCAAGCTGGAGTGGACAGAGACGACCGGGGGCCTGCGAGGGACAGGGCTCACCACAGGAAGTCTGAGGCGCGACAGGCACACACACGTGACGTCAGTGCTGATGTGTAGCTCTGGCCCTGCATGCACCAGGCCCCGGACTTCCGCTTCCGGAAACTCCGCTGCTGGCCCAGGATGCAGCGGTCACCCTGGGGTGGACATGGCCCTTGGACGTTGAGTTCCTGCTGTGTACCAGCCTGAGGGTGCAGGGCCCATGCAGGAGCTGGGGTCCCACTGCAGGGTCTCAAGCAGCTATACCATGCCATGACCCTGCTCCCCGCAGCAGGTTCTGGAGAACTCCTGGAGGATGGGTCCCCACAGCTCCCAGGGGGTCAGCAGGCAGGTGGAGGTGGCCCCCACCCGGAACCAGCCATGCCCGGGCTCACCTGGAGGTTGGTGAGGTCCCAGGCGCTGTAGTCATCCTGGCCACACGGCCTGGGGAAGGACGGCCGGAAGTCCACCTTGACCAGCTCCCAATCAGAGCGGAAGCTGATGTGGCCGAAGACCCTGGGAAGGGGGGCCAGGACAGAAGCCCACCATCACTGCTGTGTAGCCACTCCCCTTCCCCTGGGAGTCAGTGGGCACAGCGTCCCCCCTCCACGGGGGCTAGAGTGAGGCAGCCTCTGGTAGGAGTGACTCCACCACGCTGCCACTGACAGGGTCACTCAGCTGACCCCCCACACCCTAGAAGGCAGTAGGGAGGGGAGCTGGGGTCCACATGCGGGGTGGGTCCCCACAGCTGTGTCCGCTGTTGCTGCCTGCCCCAGCCTCCAGCAGCCTCATCTGGAAGGACCCAAGCCCCACAGCTGAGCCACGGGCCACACATTCCCATGTGGACCAGAAGGCCAAGTCCCCTCAGCCAGTTAGGGCCTTGAGGGTGATAGGATCCCCCCTCAGGTTGGCAGAACACCCCAAGAATGTCCTGGGCCTGAGCCAGCACCTGAGGCGGCCTCTGCTCCATGAGGACTGCTCCACAGGGCAGGGCGGAGCTTGGGGCTAGAATCTAGGGCTGGGGTTAGAAGTTCGGGTTTGGGTTTTGGGTAGGGCTAGCGTTAGGTTTGGGAGAAGGGTTATGGTTAAGGCTTGGTTAGATAGAGTTATGGTTAATTAATGGTTTGAAGTTCATGGAATGAAGAATTTGTGGTATGAAATATGGCTTAGCGTTAGGGCTAAGGTAGGACCTGGGCTTGGAGTGGCCACCCTGTACCGCATTTATCTGTCACCATGCCCGGGGAACCTCACGGGACTCTGGGCAGAGGAACCCTGCCACCACACCCATGAACCCTCTTGGAGGGACTCCAGTCCTCAGTCCCTGAGGGGCTGAGGATGGGCCCAGGGCTGGCTCCAGGACGGCCTCTTCTCATGGAGGTGCTGGCCTAGTCCCGTACAGGGGGCCTGGGTGGGGAGCGGGCAGGGCCAGTTCCCTGCCAGCAGCCCGGGGTCGCGGCCCCTGGCGCTCACGTCATCACAAGTGTCTCATCGCCCGGCTCGCTCAGCAGTCCGTCCACGAACACGGAGGTGCTGGTGAAGTTGTGTGTGCTCCAGGTGAGGCCCTCGTCCACGCTGAACCTGGGGAGGTGTGGGGGCGCCCGTGACCCCAGGGCCAGGCCTCTGTCCCCCAGCAGTGGGCTCCCCACAGGCCCTGGCAGCTGTCTGAGCCGCCGCCTGGGTCCCGCTGGTCCACAGCTCCAGTTACGCCATCGGGAAGGGTTAATGCACATTTCTGTCTCCTCCATCCCTGACCCCGGGGACGCATGCCAGGTTGCTCTGCCGTGCCCCACACAGAGACCCTATTCAGGGAACACTGCCCGCCCCCCATCCGCCACACCACCCAGGCGGCCCAGCAGGTGTACTTGAGGATCTTCAGGGGGATGGAGGTGTCCTTGACTGCCACGATCACTCCACCGTGGTCCAGGTACAGGATGTGGTGCTCCTCCTCGAACACCTGGGGGAGGGCAGGGCCGCTGGGGGCACTCGGGGCAAGGGGCCCGGGACTGGGCTGCTGGGGGCAGGGCCTCTGGGGGCACTCGGGGCAAGGGACCCGCGTCGGGGCCGCTGGGGGCACTCGGGGCAAGGGACCCGGGACAGGGCTGCTGGGGGCAAGGGTCCCGGGGACAGGGCTGCTGGGGGCAGGGCCTCTGGGTGCACCTGGGACAGGGCACTGGGAACAGGTCACCAGGAGCAAAGGTCTTAGAAGGTAGGGCTATAGGGGGCGGGGTCATGGGGCAGGAAGCAGAGGGCTGCCACGCCCCTGGCTGAGGATGTGGACAGCGCAGGGCTGGCCCAAGGGGTCCCTGTGGCACCAGGCCCTATTGGTCTTTCCCACCCCACAGGGGCTCCAAGGACAAAGCACAGACTGCCTGACCACAGCAGAGGAACCCACGGAGCCCTGGGATTTGGGACTGACTTCCCTGGGGAAGGCAAGGGCCATTTGGGTGTGTCTGCTCCACCAGCTCATCCCGAGGCTCAGCATGCCAGTGCCCCCTCTGGGCCCCCAAGCCCTGGCCAGCACCCTATCCAGGAGTTCTTGGAGGCGGGGCTCAGCCAGCAGGTGGGCAGGGCCAGTGGGCCAAGCAGCCAAGGACTGACCTCTGGGTCCTGGGGGAACGGGTGGGGAGGCAGGCACACAGACACTAGTGGTGGCTGGCACTACCCTTCCCTGCCCATCTGTCCCCAGACCTGCGCTCAGGGACTGCCTAGTCACCTGCCCCCTCCCACCAGCCCCTCGTCCAGATCAGCTCAGCAGGACCCCAGCCCCAAAAGGCTGGCCATGCCTTCCAGTGGGTGGAGAGGGGTGGGGCAGAGCTGGGTGGAGGAAGTATGCACAAAGCTCTCGCTGGCTCCATCCACACCAGCGGGATTAAAACTCCCGTTATTACTTGATGGAAAGAGAGAGAGAGGGAGGTATCCCATCCACTGACTCGCTCCCCAGGTGGCCACAGGAGCTCCAGTCTCATGTCCCACACCTGGGCCGCCAGCACACCCCAGCGGGGAGCCGAGTGGGGAGCACAAACGGAACATAAGATCCACATGGCATGAGGCTCTACTGGCCTCTCAGCCCTGGTGCCCAAGGCCTACCCAACCCAGGGCGATGCACGGGGCGCCAGGGCCCTGATGGCCTCGGAACACTGCTCTCTGCTCTCAGAACCTGTGTCTGGGCCTTTGCACGTGCTGCCCCATGTGCAAACTTCCTTAGACACTCCTTGCTGGTGATCTGTCTTGCTGGCGACCCCACTGCCCACAGGAGAGCTCCAGGGCTACGCGCCTGCCTGAGGTGCTCAGCAGCTGACATGAGCAGGTGCATGGCTGGGGCCCTGTCTGGCATGCTCATCTCCCACTCCCTGTGGGTGGCCTTGGCTGTGTCCAACCACGTGGGCCACGGGTGCTGCTGTGGTCTGGGTACCGGTGTAGGGCCTCCTGAGATGTCCCAGAGCATACAGATTCAGGGTCAGGGGAGATGTGACCGTCATGGCCTCTGGGAAAGAGGGGTCTTGCAGGCTGGTCCAGCCTTGGACTGTGACTCCCAAACTCTGCTCCCTCCTCAGCCAGCTCCTCTCAGGGGCCCCGAGAAAAGTGGCTGGCCCTGAAGTTGGGAACCCGGCAGGGCTGGGCATGGGTATAGTGGGTGGCTACTGGCACTGGTCCCCTGGGACTGACCCTGAAGGCTTCTTGCTGGTGTGAAGCCAGCCGAAGGATGTATGCGAGGCTGCCAAACAGACTCTACTCTGAAGTTGCTCACCTCCATGTAAACTGGGGAAGCTGGGGGTCACTGCCCCCATCACAGCCTGGCCCCAGCTCCTGCCCCCACCCCCAGACTCAGCCCTGGACACCTCAGAGGGAGATCAGCACGCCAAGGCAGGGCCCGTGATCAGCATGTTAAGGGGCGTCCATCTGCAAGCTAGGCAGATGGCCTGGCAGCCGTGATGGTTGTGGGCGCCGAGGGGTGGGCTCGTCTGGTTAGGAGACCCCTCTAGGTCCTGATGGGGCAGGTGCCTGTCACAGAAGGGCAGGGTGACCTTCCAGAGGCCCCGGCCATCGTGCAGTGAACCGACATGAGATTACGATGCAGCAAATCTCCTTTAACCTTTTCAGAAATTCCTGCCTGCTGTACAGGACTGAAACACGCCGGGGCCGGGTGCTGCACACGTGTGCTCGCAGGATGGGGTCAGCAGGCTTGGGTGGGAAGGGGAGGCGCCCGTGATGGGGTGGGCCAGTGGCCAGCAGGGGCCTCTCACACCCAGGGCCAGAGCAGAGTTGGGTCTTGTCGGGGTGCGAGCCAGGCAGGGGGAGCCTGGAGCTGCCACAGCACAGCAGTCCACCCTCCGCTGCCCAAGGCCCAGCACCTGATGTGAGCTGAGCTCAGTCACCTCGCCACCGGCATGTCCCTCAGGCACCTGCTGGCTCCCCATGGACCCCATAACCTGTCCTGTCCTCAGGTTTCCATTTTCTTCCCAGGGCTCTGTGCCCACCAATGCCCGACCCTGGGAGTCAGCAGCCCTGCTCCTGGCTGCAGGGGGCTGTGCAGGGCTGCCTGGCCACGACCCCTCTGCCACCCACTTTTGTGTACACCCTTTTCCTGGGTGTTGGGGTGACATGTCTGCTTGGGCAGTTTCTCAAGCCGGGCGCCAGCTGGGCCAGCCAGTTTCCCACAGGCCACAGTGCACCTGCTGCTGCAGGGAGTGGCCTGCAGACCCCATGCAGCCACTGGACAGGGAGGGCTGTGGCCCATCCGCAGCCGCCTTACCTGGCGCCAGGAGTGCCCGCAGTCCGCCGTGATGTACATCTCCTCCTTGTACTCCACCAGCTGGGAGCCCAGGTTCCCTGGCCCAAACGGAAGGAGTTGCACGGCCCTGAGGATGCCCACGCCCTGCCGGTGCCCGGCCCACGAGTGCCTGACGAGGGCCCCCTGTGCTGCAACGGCTCAGGCTCAGGCTCGGGGGGCTGGGGGAAGGGCTCCCGGGTGGCTGGGGAGCGTGCACAGGGCCAGGAGGCTGATGCCATTCTGGACCCTGTGGGACCCGGGGGCCCATGTGCTTCTGGGAGCCTTATTTTTGTGACATTGGCAGAAGCACTTCCTCTGGAGTCAAGCTCAAGATGATTCGTAAAACCCCAGGGAGAGGGACTGTCACAGACACGCGAGTTAAAGTGACCTCAACACAGATGGCAGTGTGAGTGAGCCCGGGTTCCACTTTTAAGTCCATCCTCCGTCACCCATCTACACACACCCCATCTGTCCACTTGCCCGTGTGTCCACCTGCCTGTCCTCCACCCACCCTCCACCTGCCCAACCCCACAGAGGCACGCGCCATGTTGAGCGAGGTGCAGTCACCTACCTGCGCCCATGATGAGGCCAGGGGCGGTGTCCTTGGTGTGCACAGTGCCGGACACATAGGGGTTGTCTGCCCAGCGCAGGTGCAGGTGCAGGTGGCAGTCGGGCTGTGAGGGAGGAGGAAGAAGCCATGCCAGTTCCTGGGTGAGGGGCCACCTGCACCCACAACTCCAACCCAGCTGCCTGGCAAGGAGGAAGCCGAGGGCCCACGTGGGAGCTGGGATGGAGTCCTGCCTCCCACCTGGCCCGGCTCTGGCCAGGCCTAGCACAAACCCACCTTGTGGCTTTGTTGGTAAGGAGGCAGGGCCAGGAGGGGTGGATACAGGTGGGAAACAGGGCAGGTGTGGCGGGGGGAGAGGTGGCAGCAGAGTGGGGTGGGACGCGGCGGGGCGGAGGAGGGGCCCCGAGGGAGCAGCTGCAGCCTCTACAAGGCCAAGTCATGGCAGGGTGAGGACATCCTGAGCTGGTCCCTGTACACGGAGCCTTGAGGTGTGGCTGGCTGGACCCAGGTCACAGGGTCCACGGAAGGGGCTGCCCCAAGAAGTCCAGCACTGGGAAAGAGCCAGGGACGCTGGGGTGCTGAGTGGTCAACCAGGCCCTCTCGGCCCAGCCCATCATCTCCCTTGCAGTGGCTGCCCGCTGGACACCCTCCAGCCAGGACCCCTGGTGCACAGAGGCTCTGGGCAACACCTGGCTCCTCCAGGGGACCCCCTTTCCTTGCTCGGGCAGCCGTGGGCACGGGCGGCCATGGGCATGGGCAACCACAGGACATGGGCAGCCACGGGACATGGGCATCCATGGGCACGGGCCGCCATACACACAAGCAGCCACGGGACACAGGCTGCGCACCCTTGTGCCATGAGTCAGGTTCCTTGGACAGCAGGACCAGCCAGCTTTGACCTCAGGAAGCTGGGTCTCAGGTCCCACACGTTCCCCGCTTTTGGCGACAGATGCAAAGCTGAGACCTCTGCCCTGCACCCCAGCCACAGGGATCCAGCTGGCGTGTCACCTGTGCCAGCCACCTTCCTGAGCCTCTGCCGTGCCCCAGGCACTCGGCCTGGCTGCATCAGGGCTGCCCAACCTGAGAAGCTGGCTGTTGCCTTGGGGGCCGGGGCACCCTGCTGAGCCCACACCGCTGGGAGCGAGGTGGCAGTGGGGGACCCACTGTCCCCTACATGCACAAGGCAGCCCCTCCCCATTATGCCCAGCCTGGGCAGTGACTCAGGCAGCCAGGACGTGAGGACTGGGCCATGGACACATGGGGTGTCCCTGACAGGAGTGGGGCGGCACTCACGGGCTCGCAGTGCGTGGGCCGCCCGTTCAGGTCGGTGCTGGGCGGCGGCAGGAGGTGCCAGTCACGGCCCTTGTTGTACGTGATGACTGTCCTCACCTTCCCACCGATGTTCTGGTTTGCCAGGAAGACTCCCTTCACCCCCCTGACCTGTGGAGACACGGGGTGCTCAGGATCCTCCACGGGGACAGAGCTCGGCTGCCTCCCGCCCCTGGCCCCGGGAAGCCTGTGTGACAACTGTGGGCTGCCTGGGAAGGGGTAGGCAGCAGAGGTCCTGGGGGCAGGGGACAGCCCACCTCCAGGATGTCCACCAGCACGCTGTCCTCGGCCTGCCGCGAGCTGCGCACGTCCTCCAGCACCAGCACGTAGTGCACGCCGCGGGGGTCTGACTGGTACAGGTTGTAGGTGTCTGTCTGGTACCACTCCTGCACCGCCACGAACACCTGGCTCTCATCCGTGCTGATGATCTGCAGGTCCTGGGAGGGCACGGGGAGGAGAGATGTGGGGGTTAGGGCCAGGAGAGATGTGGGGGGCTAGGAGAGATGGGGTTAGGATTAGGAGGGACGTGGGGGTTCAGGAGGGACATGGGGGATCAGGAGGGACGTGGGGGGCTAGGAGAGATGGGGTTAGGATTAGGAGGGACGTGGGGGGTCAGCGGGGACATGGGGGTTGGGGTTAGGACGAACGTGGGGGGTTAGATGTGGAGGTTAGGGTTAGGAGGGCCATGGGGTTAGGAGAGATGTGGGTTTAGGTGGTGGGGTGTGTGACCAGTCACTACATCTCGTGTGCCAGAGGCAGGCAAGCCAGGACAGAAGCCCTGCAAGTCACGGGGTCAGAGCACCTTTAGGGTCACTCACTGCTCCCCCTCAGTGGCCCAGGAGTGCTGGAGCTCTGACCACTGTGTCATCATGGGAGGTAGTGGAAAGGGGGCAGGGAAGCGGTAACCGTGCCCCCCGCCCGTCCTCACGGGGCCCTGGGCACGGGGCTCCAGGTGCCACGGCGAAGGATGCCAGTGACGCCCTGTGAGGCCTTGAGGCCACGCCCCACCCATCCTGTACCCAACTCCGTTAGTGAGAGCCTCAGGATCCACCTCGGAGGCCTCAGGGCCCATGAACCCCAGGAGAAGGATGGCTGCCGGCCCGGGTCAGGCCATATACGTTCCTTCCGGTCTCACAATGACTGTGAGGGACTTGGTGGTCACACCTCAGCAGACAGGACACACAGGGTGGGAGGACATGTGGACATGCAAATACACACATGTACACACACAGACTTGCACAATACACCGGACCTGGCCACGGAGCAGCCCACAGGACCCCCTCACCTTGGGCAGAGCATACTTGGGCAGCTTCATGAGGACAAATGCGTCGCGGCGGTGGGAGACGTAGTACTTGGTCCTGTTTGTGGCGGTTGCCTGAGGGGAGGGGACACCTGTGAGGGGCTTGGTCCCCCGAGAAGCGAGTGCTCGCTGCAGCGGGCTGGGGCTCTCCCTGCACAGTCCCACGCCGTGGACCCCTTCCCGCACGCTCCCGCTCCCCAGGGCCCAAGCCACAGCTTGTCCTGAGCCATGGACAAGATGGGCCACAGGGCATTCAAGTCACACGGGCAAGCGCTGGGCTCCTGGGCTCACGTCCTGGCACTGTCACCAGGACCGGAAACTGTCCTGCTTGCTTGACCCAGGGCAGCGCCTCTGAGCCCTCTGTTCGACCCCAACACCGATCGCAGGGGGTCAGGTGGGCGGCTCCCTGGGGACCATGTCCCATGCCTTCCAAATCCACTGGGGGCAGAAAGGACACACGTGTGTGCATGTGTGTGCCTGGGTTCTCACCCGTGTGCACCCTGTGTGTGGTGGGGACACGTGCGTGTGCTTCCTCAGAAGGAGCAAGTGCATGCTACACATGTGTGTGCAAGTCCACGCGTGTCTGTGCGTGCTCACGCCTGCAGCTGTGCCCATGCGTGCCTGTGGCATCCACCTGTCCATGTCTGCGCGTCTCACAGTGAGAGACATGGCAGTCCGTCCAGTCCAGTGGCCCCCCTGAGTGCAGTGGTCCTGGCGGACAGGACAGCAGGGGGGCATGCCTGGTGGGCAGCTGCGGGGACTGTGGTTGGCAAAGCCGCAGGAGGAATCCAGACGGTGCCAGATGGTTTTGTTGCAATTCAACAAATGCGCAGCAACTGACGACAGAGATCTAAGAACAGGGCACGGAGACGGTGCCAGGAGCGAGAGTGCTCCAGACAGCCCACCCACAACATGCCCTGCTCCTCACGCCCCCTGGACAGGCTGCACAGGGTCCCAGGAGCCCCTGGGGCTGGGCAAAGCTCACGGGCTTCCTGGAGGAGGTGCCTCAGGCAGGCAGGGCCTGAGCAGGCTTGGTGCTCCTGTGGAAGCTTATCCCTAGCCAGGACCCTGGGGAGCCACGGGGGGTGTCCAGGCAATGAGGGTGTGCCCGGTCAGCCCCCCAGGACCTGGCAGTGAGGGTGCTAGGACCCCTGAGGGCCGCAGTGGGAGCAAGGGGCCGAGCGCCCGGAAGCTGTCACCTTGAAGAAGATGTAGGCATCCTGCACGGTCAGAGAGCCTCGCCCCAGGGGGCCGGCGGCCGGCGGCATCTGCTCCGAGCAGTTGTGGATGTGGCAGGCGACGTACCAGACACCTGCAGGGATGAGAGCCAGACGCGGGCATGCACGCAGCCCAACCCAGCGTGCACCTGCGCCAGCCCACGGCAGTCCTTGCATGCGGTCCTCCCTCACAGGACCAGGTGGCAACCTGGTCTCCCAGTTGGACCTGCGGTTGGGGTCTAGGGTAGTGGGGCAGTGATTTTTGGGAGCTCTGGAAGGCAAGGCCCCTCACTGGGGTGGGCAATCTTGGGTGCACCCGCAGGAGCTGAGCTGGGGAAAAGCATGGCACACTCGGCTGCCCCTCCCCCTGCCGTGAGCACCAGCTGTGCGGCTCCACCTGGGCCTGCTGGGTTCGGACCCCATGCTGCCTGCTGGCGGCCCGAGACCATTCTGGATTTGGACTCAGTGGTGGCCTCCGTGAGCCTGGTCCCTCCGTGAGCCCTGTTCTGGCCGCTGAGCAGCCACCTGCTGACCCCTGGCCCCATGCCCACCGCGTGGCACATAGGCAGCACAGGGAGAACATTGCCCTGCCCCAGCTCCCATGCTGCGTACTTCCACTCGGGTCCTGGGCTTCCATGTGCACCAGGTCCAGGTCAGCATCCACTCCAGACACAGCCCTGGGAGAGAACAGGCTGGCATCAGGGACAGAGCCCCAGCCCTGCCCACACCCCACCGGCCCCTGATCTCATGCTGCCATTGCCCAAGGCCCTGAGCACCTAACTGGCCAGAACCGGGTGGAGCCTGCACCCCGGTGGCGGGTGCTGACCCTGCTTGCGGGTCCCCAGAGCTGACCTGATCCGTGCTAGGGGGCAGGCTCAGCTGAGCTCTGGGTACCTCTTGCCTCTGCCCTGGGCCTGAGCACATGGAGCTGCCCCTGAAGCCAGGCACTGGCCAGGCAGGGCCAGGCTCCTGCATACTGGTCCTGAAGCCCCACTCCTGGACTCTGCCCAGCGCAAACAGCCTCTGACTGGCATGATGTGGGGTTTACGGCCACTTGGCCCCCATAACCCCCCAGTGTCCCTCCCACAGGGCTTTGCAGCGCCTCAAAATCACTCCCCAGGACTCCGCCAGGGATCTCCACACAGGGGACATGCAGGGACTGGGGGCAGAGCTGGGCCTGGCTGTGGTCACAAGGCCTGGAACAAGCCACCCTCCAGCAGGGTACTGCTTCCCACTCATGCTGGGACACAGGACGGCCCTCCGACCCCCAGACCCGTGTGTGGGCACCTCCCTGCCCATCCTCAGGGCAGGCTCCACTGCTCCTGGGGGTGTGGTCAGAGAAGGCCTCCCGGGCCTCAGTGTCCCCTCAGTGACACTTGGGGACAACATGTGGGGCAGCTGATGGGGGGCCCTGAGAGACCGTAGGGAGGACCAGGACCCCCGAAAGGCACTTCGGCCGGGCAGCTGACAGCCCCAGGACTAGGCTCCTGGCAATGCGGTCGGCTCAGGTTCTCCCTAGCTCCTGGCGGCCATGGCCTTGGCTGTCCCCACGTTCCTCACAGCAGCTGGGTCAGCTATGGCTCCTCCCAGGCCTGCCAGCCGGGGCTCTGGGCCACCTCGGGGAGAAGCTGGTGACGTGCCAAGTCATCCCAGAGCCCCCCTGGCTGCTGTCCGGGGAGGTTTCTGTGACCTGGCTGACAGGGAGCCAACCCCTGGCTGGCCCAGGACCCCGAGTCCTGCAGAGCTGGCTAGCACCCCAAATCCCTAGAAAGACACTGGAGTGCCCCTCCTGCCTGCTGCTCTTTCCCAATCTCCCTCATCTGTTCCCGCACTGGCTCCCCCCAGCATCTGCTCTCCCCACTGGAACCTGCCCCCCACCTGCTCCCACACCTGTTGCCATGAGCCCTCGGCACCCGGGCATCCCCAGGCTCAGGTCCTGACAGGTGACACAGTGACACAGTGACACAGTGGGTGGCTGAGGACTGCAAGAACGAATGCTTTCCCATGGACAGTGCATGGACGGCCCACCTGGCCTCTGCCCCCTCTGGACCAGTGTCCCTCGGGAGGGATGAGCAGTCCCTGCACTCTGCTGTGGCGAGCCTGGAGGTGAGAGCCCCACGGTGTGGGGGAGGGGTGGGGACAGTACAGACAGGGTTGTGGTCAGTGAGGAAGGCTGGCACTCATGGCTACACATGTGAGGGAACATGACAAGCAGAGAAGGATAGGCAAGAGGTGCTGGCACACACTCAGGCCATATATGTGCCCCGTGTCCATACGCACATGCTCAATGAGTGCAGGAGGCACACGCAGTGCCTGGGCTGTGTGCACGCACAGGGCTGTGTGCCTGGCTGTGTGGTGTACAGAGGGCATGGGGCTGTGTGCACAGGCCGCGGGTGTGCAGAGGGCACAGGGCTGTGTGCACGGGCTGTGGGGGTGCAGAGGGCACGGGGCTGTGTGCACGGGCCGTGGGTGTGCAGAGGGCACGGGGCTGTGTGCACGGGCCGCGGGTGTGCAGAGGGCATGGGGCTGTGTGCACGGGCCATGGGTGTGCAGAGGGCATGGGGCTGTGTGCACGGGCCATGGGTGTGCAGAGGGCACGGGGCTGTTGCTGACAGGGGTTTAACCTGAAGTTCCGATCCTGCCCACAGCAGGGTGAGGCACATGTTTGCTGAGCTCACTGATCTTGACTTGTGCCCTGCCACCAGGAGCTTACGCAAGGTCCACACCTGCCCCCAGCCAACTGCTGCACCCTTCACGCACTGGCATTCCCTAGCTGGTGTGCCAGTGCCACAGCCCTGCGTGAGGTGGCCAGAGGCCCCATAGGGCCACAAGGGTGAAGGGCTGGTGTCCTCAGCGGGTGTGCACAGCACTGAGCTTGCCTTCTCCACAATGTGCCGCCACCTCGTCCTGCTGGCTCGTCGGCAGGTCTGGGACGTGCCCCCATGGCACACGGCATGCCCTGTACCATGGCAGGGTGACATGCTGGGCCCGTGCGGGCAGGTGGGCAGGGCTGAGGCGGCCACGCCACAGGGCAGCACCGAGGGGAGCTTGTGCCTGGGCCCTCCACGTGCTGGCTGCTGACCGTGTCCATTCAACCCTTCTGTCCACTGAGGGCAGGAATGCCCAGTCATGTGCCACAGCACCCACCTGGTTCCCAGAGCCGACGTGAGATGCGAGGCCCAGATCTTCACCATCCTGATGCCCCCACCCCAGCAGGTGGCAGGGTCCCTGGGGGAGGGGGCTTTGCAGGGCCCGGGCCCAGGGCTCTCACCAGAACACGTGGTCCTTTGTCACTCGTTCCCGCAGAAGCGTCCACTTCTTCCCCAGGTCCCATGACACTAGAAGCTTCAGGAAGAAAAGAGGAAGACGCGGGCTCGGTCACAGGGTCAAGACCCTCCGTGGGCAGCGGCAGAGCGGCCAGTTGCGGAGTGCCCCCACGAGTGTGGCTGGCAGGGGTGAATTCCAGGAAGGCCTCCTAGAGGAAGTGTGCGGAGTGTGTGGCGTGTCAAAGGAATTTTCTAGCCTCCAGGCACACTCAAGTGCTCACTACACGCATGCACACTTACGCTCACATGCAAGCACCCCTCATACACACACATTTGCACACTCCCCCACAACCTCATGTTCATTTGCACACTCACAAGCCCATGCTGGGCTGTTTCCCCCTTGGCAGAGCTTCAGCTAAGAGAGGTGAGTCAGTAGCCCGAGGCCAGCCAGCGCCTGCTCACAGCAGCAATCCGATCCACCATCCTGAGCCCAGGGCCCTGCAGTAGCAAGGAGCCCCTTCACTAGTCCCAGCCCAGTCCCCAACATGAGCTGGGCTGGGGCCCCACTGCCCTGTGCCTCAGTTTCCCCACCTGCACATACAATTACATGGGGAGACAGTGAGTGGCACCCTGGGCTTGGGGGCCGGGCAGGAGGCCTCTGGGCTGCCGTCCGCATTGAGCTGGCACCATCCTTGCCACCACACCTGGCGTATGTGCCTGGGACTTCACACACTCTGCCCACTCTCCATGCTGGCGGGGAGGAAGGAAAGGAGCCTCAGGGAGCCCCAAGGTTTAGCTGCAGCATGGAGGGACTGATGGAGGGCTGCCCGGGCTAGGTGCGGCAGGCAGGGGTACATGGAGGCAGGCACAGGGGGCAGGTGCCCAGGCAGATCATGCGAGCCAGCTTCACGCTCACCCTGTCCCCTCTAGGCTTGGCCAGCATCTGGGGGGCTGGCAGGGACAGTGGGGGAGGCAGGTCATCCAAGCCAGAGTGCCCACCATGTATGCCCTACCCCTATGCCTGCTCTGGGCATGGCAGTCCGGACCCCAGCTGTCCCACACACCTGCCAAATGCCAGTACTCGCTGCCCTCAGAGCCTGGTGAGGATGCCTCTGGGCTTGGCCACAGTCACAGCCACCTGACAGAGGCCCCAGGCCCGCTGAAGCCAAGAGCTGGCACTACCCCAGCCCAGTACCCTCCCTGCCTGTGAGGCTCCTGCTGTCACCGTGGCTAATTCCCTCAGGGCCCTCATGCCCTGAAAATACAACTAAGCCTCTGTTCTCCTGGGCCTCTCCTCAGTCACAGGGGAGAACCCATTTCAGCTTCATTAATTTCCCAGGGTACCACCAATTAAAGAGCAACCACAAGGCAGCTGATGTCTTAGGGAAGGCTCAGTAACTGAGTGGGACTGCGGGAAGGACAAGCAGCACTGTCAGTACTCGGGAGCATGGTGACACAGAGGCAGCCCGGGAGCAAGGCCACCCTGGGCATGGAGGGGCAGCTCGGAAGTGAGGGGCAGCCTGGGCAGGGAGGAGCAGCCAGGAGCGAGGGGCAGCCTGGGCAGGGAAGGGCAGCCTGGGCAGGGAAGGGCAGCCTGGGCAGGGAGGGGCAGCCAGGAGCTAGGGCCAGCCTGGGCAGGGAAGGGCAGCCTGGGCATGGAGGAGCAGCCAGGAGTGAGGGGCACAAGTCTCCATTTGGAGGTCTTCAGCATGATTGACCCATGCTGGTAGCAATCACTCCTTCACATATCTAACCAACCACCATCAATTCACCCAGCTGCCACTCATGTAGGGCCCCACCCATCCACCCATCCATCTACCCATCCACCCACCCACCCACCCATACAACCATCCACCCATCCACCCACCCATTTATCCACCCACCCACCCATACAACCATCCACCCATCCACCCACCCATCCATCCACCCACCCACCCACCCATCCATCCACCCATCCACCCACCCATCCATCCATCCATCCACCCACCCATCCATCCATTCATCCATCTATCCATCCATCTACCCATCCACCCACCCATCCATCCACCCATCCACTCTCCTAGCCACCCTTCTATTCATCCATGCACCTTCCCACTTACCACCCACCAAACCAACCATCCGTCCAACTTGTCACCCACCCATCTACCTCCCACCCATCCATCCACATATTCACCCACTCACCATTCTTCCAATTACCCACCCACCCATCCATCACCCACATATTTACCTAACTATTCATTAACCAAACCACCCATCCACCTACCCAAATCTCGTGCATCTACCCACATATGCAGCCATCCATCCACCCATTCACCCACCTGCCCACTCAACCATGCATAAGGGAGCCACCCACTCATCTACTCAACAAGCATTTCCCTCCTAGTATTTGGGGTTAAAATGGGGAAAAGAAACCAGGCTATTCCTGCCTCCAAGGGGCTTCACTCACCAGGCAGCGCCTCAAGTGCGCATGGTCCTGTCCTTTGCCATCAACCCTCCAAGTCTACACACTGCCTTCCACCCTCTGAAGTCCACACGCTGAAATGCACACACTGCCTTCCACCCTCTGCAGTCCACACGCAGCCTTCTCCAAGCGCCTCCGAGGGAGGCCGAGCTGCACACGTACCTTGCCGTCCCTGGTGTAGGCCAGGACCTTGTCCTCCTCTTTGGGGTGGAAGATGAGCGTCTCCACGGCGAAGGGAACCTGCTGCTTCTGGAAGCTGGCCCCCTCGTCCGTGCTCACAAACAGGCTCTGCTCCCGGTCACTGAGTGAGGAACTTGCCAGAATGATCTGGAAGACGGGGAGGAATATGAGGCCGTGGCCGGGCTTGCCACAGGGCTCCCTCTCACGCACGAGTCACCCAGGGCCCAGCCGGGATCCCGGATGATGCCCCAGGCCCTGCCACACGCAAGAACCTGTTCTACACATGGGTGAGTCAGTTGTCACATGTGCAAACCTGTTTCAGCCAGGGGCGGCTGGGGTCCTCAGGGAGCAGTCACGGAAGGGACCTGGGGGTACCCCAGGATCTCAGAGCAGGCCCAGGGGCCTGGTGGGGAAGAACACCAGTCTGGCTCTGTGGGGCAGAGCAGCGTCCCTGAGTGTCACTGTCCTGGCCCCAGGACCTGGTGAGGGCACCCACTGAAGGGCAGGCCGGAAGTCAGGGACTGTGGCCCTGGAGTGGACAGGACAGGCAGTGTGGACAGCCAAGGGACAGGTGGAGAGCAGTTTGTCCCTCTGGGCGACAGCAAGAGCCAGCCCAGTCCACTGGAACCGGGCCTCCTGGCTGCAGAGAGGGGTAACTCCTGTTCCCCTAGTCCACTGGCCCCATCACTTACCCCAAAGGCTAGAGGAGGCTCCTGGGGTGGGCAGAAAGGGTTGGGGGCCAGTGGGCCCTGAGCCCCCTGCCCATGCTGGGACTTTCCACAGTGCTCTGGGGGCTGCCCTTGACAGGGCTCCCTTCCCCCACAGCCCTACAGGGCCCCAGCAACCGTCCCCCCCAGGTAACCTTATTGTAACCCAGGCCTGTGCAGCCCAAGGGGACCCTGCCTCCCAGTTATGGTGTGTGGGTGCAGCAGGGAGCTGGCACAGGTTCTGGGCCCAGAACCACTGGAGGGATTTGCTTGAGGGAGAGACCGAGACATGGCCTGACCACCAACCCCATGGCCCCTCTGGGCCAGGCTGGTGCTGAGCTGCCTGGGCAGGCAATCCAGCAGGGGCAGCAGCAGGCGACCTGAGCCACGGCACCAGCCCACACAGGCACAAGTGATGGCCAGGCCTGGATTTGCATTTCTGGGGAGCCCCAGTGAGCTGCCTGGGGGACCCTGAGGTCATCTCCCCAGCACTCAGGGGCTGAGGGACACCGATGTGGCAGTAGCCTCCTCCCCGACATGGATGGGGACAGAGGTGACATGAGCTGGCTCCCAAACTGGAGCACATGGTGGAGTCTAAGTCGCCAGACCTGGGAGACAGGAAGACAGCCTGGGCTGGTGACCCTGTCCAAGAGGTGGCCGAGCAGGGCAGGGGGCTTCGACCCTGATGGTGGGGAGGGGAGCTCCTGTGCAAGGGATGGCAGGTCGGCTCTACAGTACACTCGTCCTTCCTCTTGCAGGTGTATGGTGGGGGTGTCAGCTTGGGCTGTCGTCATGGAAACGAGATCCCAGCAGCACATCAGTGCCCGTCAGCGCCTGCGGGAGACCTGTCCACCTGGCGGAGTGACAGCCGTGAAGGCAGGAGCGTGCTGGCCCACCTTGCTCCCATCATTTCCAGGAAGTACTGGGCTCGCAGACAAGCACAGTCAGCACCCCCGCGCCATCACAGCGCACAAGACGCGCACCCTGGGCAGGTAAAGGCTGTGACAGCGGCACACGGCTGTCGCCAAGCACCATACCCATCCCAGGGCCTCACAGCCACTGCAGCCCTGTGGCTCCCCTCAGACTCTGTGAGCTTGGTCGAGGGGCTGAGGCCTGGCCGGCCATTCTGCAGGCTGCCGTCCTGACGTGGGTCGGTCTGACAGAATCTGAGGGTGACACTTGGGCCCTGCCATCCCCACTGCCACACCATACCCGGGCAGTGCGGGAGGGTTGGGTTCAGCACACCCCCCACCTGCTGGGTCTGGAGTCCATGAGGGTGGCAGAAGGGGAGGGGGAGGTAGAGTGGTGGGGGACACAGATGAGCTGGATGCTGGGCCCCAGTTCAGGCTTTCTAACTGCCCCCTGCCCAGACCCAGCAGCCTGATGGGCTCTCGGCTGGGTCCCCCAGCAGCACAGCAGCCTGGCTCCCCCTCTGTGCCATAATGGGGCTGCGGGGGCCTGCATGAGCTACAGCAGCAGCCTCTGCAGGATTCTGCCTCAATCCCTCCCCCCGCGGTGTCCCCATGGGAGGGGGACAGCCCCCTGAGCCACTCCATGCCCTGGAGCTCTGCCCCTCCCACCTCACCCGCCTTCCGCAGCCTGCGACCCGCCAACCTCCAGCTCTCGCTCTGACTCCAGAATCAAGAGGTGCACCGCTGGGGTCCCTCCGCAAGGCACCTCCCATCATGCACTGCTCAGGGTGCTATGGGGAGGTGAGACCTCCGTGCCCGCCTCCCCATCAGACTGTACGCACACGCACGCCTACAGACACATACACATGCATACACGCCTACATGTATGTGCTCGGATTCGCACATGCAGGTGCATGTATGTACATGTACACATACCCGCGAGCACACGCCTATGCACATGGCCCAGGCTGGCCACGAGCCACTCTCAACACACAGGGATGCGTGTGGGGACAGAGGGTGGGACCTGTCACCGGCAGTGACCCCAAGGCAGGGGGCCTTTCCCTCCTGGAAGGAGATCCTGCTCGGGGTCTCCGGGAGTCTGAGAGGGAAAACACCAATGTCTCTCATTGCTCTTGCCCCCAGAGCTGCGCGTGCCTGCTCGCTCACCCCCACGTGCCACAACGGCCCGAGTTCTAGAACAGAAAGCCCTTCCCTCACCAACCTGCCCACCCAGGCTCGCCCCAGCGGCCCCTCCCCCAGCAGCCCCTCCCCCAGCGGCCCCTCCCCCAGAGGCCCCTCCTCCATGAAGCCCTCATGGATGTGGAGCCCTGCCATTCCCCCCACCTGCTGGGATCTGCCCTGCCCAGCCCCCGAGGCAGCGGTCACTCTGGCCAGGGGCCCAGCACGCCACATTGGTGGCTATTTTGGGGCTTGGGAAGGCAGGAGACAAAAGCGCTGGTGTGGGGAGGCTCACAGGCAGACAACAGATCAATTAGCACACTCCAGCCGGGCTGGCAGACTGCACTCCAGCCGGGGAGCAGCCGCTATTTTAAGCAGTGTATTTTTACCCCAGCTATTCCTGGGGAAGCATATGGCACCCACACTGGGTTCCCGGGCCCAGGAGGTGGGCTGGCTCCTGGAAATCGGGGGGTGACATACCGAGACGTGACCAAGTTTGCAGACAGACTCCCAGTCCAGTCCAGGCCAGAGGTGGGGCCCGCTTGGGCGAGTGGCTTCCTTGATGCTCACAGCCACAAGGCCACGGTCAGGCTGCTGGGGACCACTCCCCCATCGCTCCTTAGGAGCCAGCAGGGCTGTGCCACGTTCGCTCCCCTCCTTCCCCCTCACCCTCCAGGACCCCCGGGGCGGGGAGTCAGCCTGAGGAGACACACAGCGGCTTCTGTCCCCAGAACCCAGATTAGATCTGTAGCAGTCAGGGCAAGCAGAGGGCCATGCCACAGCCGCTGTCCCCCGGCATGTGCCACAGGGGGCTACAGGAGCCAGGCAGCCCCAGAAGAGCCCAGGAAGGGGTGGGGTCCTGCCCCAAGGGTGCCCCAGGCACGTGCCACCGGGCACTGTCAGGGGACACAGGCTGATGGCTGATCCTTCCAGTTGTGCTCGGAGCAGTCCGGGGCCTGGTGCCCGCCCATGCAGGCTGGCAGCCCCACGACCCCTGGCCCCTTGCTTGTGACCGGGAATCTATCAGAATGCCCAGGGCCATCCCCTCTCAGGGCACACAGGAGTCTCCTCAAGGGTGGCACCAGCACACAGCTCCCTCGGGCAGGGCGGGGGATGCTGAAGGGCACCCACAGGGGTCAGGCACACAGTAGGACCCCTGCATAGCCAGGAGGCGGCAGTCTGACCAGGGCCACCTGGGGCAGGCGCCACAGCCCCGGGGCAGGAGCCACAGCACCGGGGCACGGTCTGGCTCTGCGCGGGGCTCAGCCTCGCTGCAGCTTGGTGCCCGACGTGACTCAGGCACTCTCCCACCCATGCATGGCCGTGGTGTCCATCGCTGGGGAGGGCTGCTTCTGTGAAAATGCCCAGCGAAGGCAGCCGTGATGCCAGGAAACAGCCCCGAGGTCATGTGGGCATCCAGCAATGAGGGATGCCAGCCCACAGGAGGGGGCCCACTCTGCACGGGCTGCCAGGCTTGTCTGACCCGCAAGGCCCCCCGCATGCCCTCCTGGTGTCATCAGCCTTCTCAGCCGCCCAGGGGGATGGGTGGGGCTCCCAGGGCCATCGAGCTTTCAAGTTAATTCAAGCCATTCAAGTTAAGTGAAGGTGGGAAAAGCCCACCCGTCCCTCCTGCCGTCTGACACCTCACAGCTGACAGCACAGAAATTAGTGGAGAGGCTCCTGCAGCGGGCACCTCCCGCCTCCTGCTGTGCTGCGTTAGTTAACTGTAGGAAAACTTGGGGCTCTGTAACTTCCTTTCTGCCTGAGACATTGGACTGCGTGGCTCTCAGTCTGATTGGAGGAGGAGAGCTAAAATCCTCTGAGTGGCCCCGGGAGTGTGGCAGGAGCCCCGTCCCCAAGGAGGAAACAGACTCCTCCTAACAGCCTACATGTGTGTCCAGGGTGGTCTCACAGCTCAGCAGGATCAGCGCTCCCCTAACCGCTGTCAACGGGCGGGCACTGCGGGCAGGACCTCAGGCGCAGGGTCCAGAGCCGCCCCGGGAGCTCCTCCACTTCACCCGCGGGGCCGGACGTGGCCTGAGCTCCCTGCTGGGTCCACTCCATGGACTTGTGCAGGGTGGGGGGACGCGGCCCCTGGCCCCACACTCGGGGTGCTCACGGGTATGTTCTGGCCACACCCTGACCACCGCTTCAGCTGCAGTGCCCCAGGAACTGCAGTCAGGGGCACAGAGTGCTGGGGTCCCCAGGGCCAAAGGGCTCCCCAACCCTCTGTGTGCGTGCTTTTCCTGACCACGAACTGGGCTCTGAGAGGCACCACAAGAAGCACTCAGGACCCCAGCCCAGCCCCAGGATGGGTGCAGCCTAGGTCTGCGCTCTGGGCCCGGATGTG